TACGACTACTACTACTACTACTACTACTACTACTATTACTACTACTACTACTACTACTACTACTACTGCTACTACTACTACTACTACTGCTACTACTACTACTACTACTACTACTACGACTACCACTACCACTACCACTACCACTACCACTACCACTACCACTACCACTACTACTACTACTACTACTACTACTACTACCACGACTACTACTACTACTGCTGTTTTTATTATCACTACCACTACTTACTACTACTAGTACTGATACTACTACCACTAGTACTATTACTAGCACTATTACTACTACAACTACTACTATTACTACTACTACTACTACTACTACTACTACTACTACTACTACTACTGCTACTACTGCTACTACTGCTACTACTGCTACTACTGCTACTACTGCTCCTACTGCTCCTACTGCTACTACTGCTACTACTGCTACTACTGCTACTACTGCTACTACTGCTACTGCTACTGCTACTGCTACTACTACTACTACTACTACTGTGGCCTTCCTTCTTCTTCAGACCTATTGGTTTCGAGCGACCTTACTACTGAACGTCGTTTTCTTTGTCGCCGGCGACAATGTCCTTGCAAGTGTCTTCATCTCTGTGCCTTCTCCATCACCATCATCATGATCTACCTTTCCCGAGGCTGTTGCTGGTGATCTGCCGTTTCTGTTGCGGTTGTGTTCATGCTCGCTGTTGCTGCCTTGTGAACAGTCAATGCAAACTCCTGGCAAAATTCCGTGCCGCAGACCATCGTGCACGAAGTCTTGGCGAAGAAGCCCAAGCGCCGAGTGGAATGGGTGCGACGTCCAATACCAACAGGTCTAGCAAGGGATTGCACGGGAGTTCCTCCTTTTAGGTGCACTTTTCCGCTCCTGCTGAATTTGTCACACCAGGGCTTAGATCTCTGGAGTTATGAGAGTACTTTTTGCGAAGCAGTGTGATTGCTTGTTTGTGATGACGCGCAGCGAAGAGCGGTCATGCAAGCTTAGAAGCAGGAACTGTCATGCACAATCTCCTCCAGCTGCTTCTCTTCCACATCATCATCGACACGTCATGAAACTCGAGTTGCGGCCGTTTCAGCTACCGGGCTCAAGAAAGACACGGGGAAATTCGAGGTCACCAACAAGGCTGGCCACTCAGGCCGACATTGTTTGCCAGACGGAGAGATGCAGCCTAGATAGCAAAACCAGTCCTACAGACATCTGTGAGGCTTAGGCTCCGGTGGTTTACATTCTCAACCTCAGAAATAGTGGGCCTCGGGTGAGCCATCGAAAGCTGACCTGTGGAGGCCAACGTACTTTTCCAGCGACGGTTGTCTTTCAGAACTGCGGTCTCTTGCGCATGTTTACAGGTCCCACCAGCACTCTACAGGAGGACTCTGGGCTTTTAGCTGTCTTTTATCGCGGATGTGCACTTGATTTACAGCTTGTGGGCTCGACGATGGTTTGGGGTCTCGGACTGAAAGGCGTCAAATTAAGATTTGGGGGGGCTTTCGGCTTTGTGTCTGTACATATTTGTATGTATGTATGCATACACGCATGCATGTCTGTATGTGTATGTGTATATATACATATATATATATATATATATATAAGCTCACCCCCCCCGTTGACAGACCATGCCCTTGTGATAGTGTACTCTCGTTCGGTGACTAGGCTGAGATATTGCATCTAAACACACCACACATGACGACAATCTGTAAAGCAAATCCTTTACAGTACATATACCAAGTATACTTTTAACATGCCATGTACTGAGGACGCATGGACCAGATGCGCGACACGTGAGTTATGAGTTTTGTGGTAGCATTGATATAGGATGAGTAGTATTAATATTGGTATTAGTATTAGTATCAGCAATAGTATTAGTGTTTACTGTAAGTATGTATATATATATATGTATATATCGACAGTAGTAAGTATACATTAATGTTAGTGCTCATCTTCGTTTTAGTCTTAGTGTTAGTGCCCGTGTCAATGCCAGTAATAGTACCACTGCTAGTATTAGTATCAGTCTTCATGCTGGGTTTAATATCAGTTAATAATGGCAGAGGTGCTAGTATTGGTATCAAATTAGAGTTAGTTTCGATATGTTACTATTCTGATAGTTTCGTATATCAGCAGGTTAGTATATCAACACATTGATGTGTTCGAGAGGCAACATATTTGTATACTTGCATATTCGTAGATGTAATACTTTAGTACAACTGATGCATGAGTAAACTAGTATATTGCTGTATTAATATATTAGTATATTAACATACCAGTATATTCGTACATTAGTGTATTAGTATACTAGTATATGCAATATACGTGTATTGTCTAAAGATTTATAAGTGTATCAGTATGTTGTCATATTAGTACACTAACCTGCCACGTCGGTATACTTGCATATTACAGTAGTCGCATACTAGTATAGTAGCATACTAGTATAATAGCATACTAGTATAGTATATTCACACATTAACAAGTAGTGTATTGTTACATTGGTATATGGGTATATGCTTGTCCTAAAACATCAGTACATGAATGCATTGATACATATCGGCATTTTAAGTTAATGGTATGTGTTCTGGTGTGCATTAGCATATGCACGTGTCTTTTGTAATGGTATTAGTCTTCACATCAATATGAATATGACTATTGGCATTCGTAGGAGTATTAATGTTAATATTCGTATTAGGATTATCCATAGTCGCATTAGCCTTAGTATAAGTGTTAATAATGGTATTAATACTGGCATTATCTTGAATATTCAGCAAGTTATCAATGTCAGTATTAGTATTGGTGACAGCATTACTGTTAACAGCATAAGAGTATACGCAGTAGTATCCGTAGGAGTATCAATACTTATGTAAATCTTGGTGTTGGTATAAACAGTGTGATTGGTATTAGTAATAGTGCTAGTGCGAGTGCTAATATTAAAATGAGGTTATGTATTCGCATGAACGTTTGTCTTATATTAGTATTACTCCTGATTACATGAAAATACTAACAGATAAATACATGCATGAGCTAATGTATTTGTACTTTAATATAGTGGTATGTATATTTATGTACATTGGTATATGCAGGTGTGTATTAGTATTGGAATTAAAATACACTACTACCAATATGGGCATAATTTTTGATATGCGTAGGAGTATGAACGTCAGTATTAATCATTATTAGTATTTGTTATTTGTATGGTGCCTATTCGTATTGGCTTAAAAAAGTGTAAATATTAGTGTTAATGCTGGTATTAGCTTGGGCAGTCAGCAAATGATCAATGTCAGAATGAGTATTGGTAATAGTATTCGTGGGAGTACCAATTTAGAAAAATAGATAAACACTGACAGTCGTCTAAACAGGCCTTGCCTTTGCAAGTGAGTCGTAGTGCATGGTCTGTCATCCGATGGGTCACAATCAGCCCATTGAAAATCAATTCCAGAAGTTCCAAAATTTCCAAAATCTCCGAAATCTCCGAAATTTCCGAAATTTCCGAAATTTCCAAAATTTCCAAAACTTCCAAAAATTCCAAAATTTCCAAAATTTCCGAAATTTCCAAAATTTCCGAAATTTCCAACATTTCCAAAACGGCCCGACCTAGCCGACAGGATTTTTCCAAAACATAAGGGCGGACTTTTTGGAAATTTTGGAAATTTCTGAAATTTTGGAATTTTTGTAAATCTTGGAAATTTTGGAAATCCGGAAAGTTAGGGGAGAGAATTTTGGAAATTTTGGAATTGAGTTTTTGAAAGCTGAGTGCCACCTCTCCCCGATCACAGACCATGCGCTACGACTGAGTTGAAAGGGCATGGTCTGTCAACGGGTCTCAGTCTTTTGGTGGTTCCACAGATACGTTCGGAGGGCTCAAACTCGATACCCCGGAAAAAGCACGAACACGCCGGTGGGAGCGATGTTTTGAAGGGGATGGTCTGTCATGGGGGGGGGACCATATATATATATATATATTATACGCACATGCATATCTACTTGGTTCGGGCTTCACCTAATTAGATTCCGAAGGCTGCGGTTTTGGGACAGTTGGCCTGGCGAGATTTACATCTTCGAGCGGGTGTGGGACGGACCATGTATGCAAGGACTGCCGCAAATCAACTGCAACTTAGATGTGTTGTGGTTAAGAGCTACAAGCAGGACGTGGACACTCAATCACGCACCGCAGCATTGCTTGCGATTTTGTGAGCTGATAGAATCCGTAGCTTTGAGCCAAGGGTCTGTTTTGATCATAGTCGTCACCATCAGCATCACCATCTTCATCGCCCGTGATCCAGGCGCATCGTCATCATCAGCAGAAACGCTTGTAGCATCAACATCACCTTCCATCTTCCGCGTCGTCATAGCACGATGAAAGCGTCAGGTTCACCCACATCCCGCATGACTTTCATTCCTATCATCACATTGCCATCACGGCGGTTATTATCAGAAGAGAATTGTCCTCGAGCCTGTCAGCATCGTCATCAAGGCAGTGCCCGTAAACAGCATTATTACCACTTACATCCAACACCAGCTTCGCTAGTGTAAGCGCTGGTGATCTTGCCAGTGCTGCTGTGGTTACCTTGATCTTTCTCATGTCCATTTGCCGCCACAAGTATTTTTCAAGCTTAAGCGCGGCAACATGGCGCCATAGCAAAACTTGTCTACGGTAAAGATGCTACTTGTTGGTTTGCTGTCATTGCGAGAGCACCAATATCTTGACCACCAGCAACAACATCACCGACCGAAGGAATCCACATCCTATCGATCTCCATTGTCAGGCCACTGCATCATCACCATCGTCAATGCTGCCAAGATAAAGTGTCACACTCCACATGAGCAGAGCAGCCACAGCAGCATTTGAATCATCATCATCGTCAATCATCACCCTAAGTTGTCATGTTTGGTGTGCTCTTGTTTTCTGTTCTGCTTACTGTTGCGGTTACGCATTTCATTCTTCGTCCCTGGCTTCAGGTGATACGCCCTTCCGCCCAGCGCAAGGCAGGCCATGCCTCGCGCGCGCAGTTCTTCCTGCGGCTCGCCTGAATTTCACTACGTCCATCATCGGCGCTTTTCAAGAAGGGGCTTGTTTTCGGATCCTCATGCCGAGGGTCGTGCATTAGAGAGTATATGCCGATGCAGAGGTTCCTCAGATTGCCGAATTCACGTTCCAAACGAGGCTGCCCAAGAGGGCAAAAGCTGACGATCGCAACCCTGTGGTTGGCGTTCGCCTCAGCATCAGAGGCTGCATGTTCAGTAAGGGCTTCGTTCTGAGGACCTTCGGTACGCTTCAGCTATTGCCTGCAGAAGCAGATTTCCGGGAAGCGTGGTCAAAGTCAGCGGAAGTCTTGCTCTTGTACGCACAGAGCAGCGTCGAGCACATTCAGAACTAAAGGATCAATGCTGTGGCCTTTTGTATGCCTTTTGTCCCCACCACCACCACCACCACCACCACCACCACCACCACCACCACCACCACCACCACCACCACCACCACCACCCACAGCAACAAGAGCAACAGCAAAAGATGATATGCCTCTGCAGACCAAGAGTGAAGGCTAAAGACGGCGAGGAGTTAGTTGAACAAGCATATGGTGCAAAGTAATGATCTGCTCAGATTTGCTTGATGTCCTGCTGGGTGCTCTGGAGGAGCGCGCGAGCATCGGGTTTCCGAGCTTCAGGTTTAGGATCGATATGCAAAAGAGTTGTGGGAGCTTCTAATTGAATTGAACGTGGGCATGGGCAGACAATGGTTTTGAGACCAATCTGGGCCTGGAGGTTCAGAGCGACATGCTGCACTGCCAGGATTCTCTAAACGGTGAGTCAGCATCTGTTCTCTTCTCAGTGCCATGCTCAGAAAAGCACGACGAATCGATGTTGCGCCGGCAATGCATTCTGAAGGACAGGATGGCAGCACGAGAAGATCGCATCCAAAGGCTACATCGCAAATGCGTTTAGGATTTGGGTTCAAGGTTTAGGGCGGTGTTTCCAACGGCGCGAAGTTCTGCTTTCATTCCTGGGTTAATTGCAGCCCAAACAGCTTACAGCAGGCTGCACGCATACAATCAGACTATGCAACTTCTTCTTGTCGCTACACATGTACAGGGGCTATCTATAGAGCTCCGTGTCATGCAGGCTTATGTGCATTTTCCGGCACTGCGTGCATGTATGCATGTACGCAGGCATGCGTTCGTAGGTATGCATGTGCATACATCGTAGGTATGCATGTGCATACATAATCATGCAACGATCGTTCGCCTGTTTTTCGCTGCTCGGCTAGCGTCATGAGTATCGTTCGGTCCGCATCCTTGTTTCGTGATGCTGACACGACACTAGTATTTCTGGTTTTGCTTCATCATGGCATGCGTATCAGTATCAGCCGGCAGTTGTTACGTTGTACTGTTTTCTGATGTTTCCTGGTATAGTGGTTTAGACATGTTTGTCCGAGCTCGACTCATATTTTCGGAGATGAAAACCACGACGACTACCACAACCACCACCGCCACTGCCACTACTGCTGCACCCCCTCTCCCGTCGTCATTAGCATCATCGGCAGCGTCACCGTCATTGGTGTCATCATCATCTTCTTCGCTGTCACAACACCAGCTGCCCTTACCAGTATAGACATCAGCGGAAATTTCTTGGAAAGTCTGTCAGCGTTATCGCCACCACTCTGGTGATCATGCTTGCCATCTTTACGCTGCTCGTGTACCCAGTATCGTCGTTTGCTTGTTTACGCGTTGCTGCGTGAACTTTTCTACGGGGTGCCATTCACGTGAATGTCATATGTGCATGTATTCGTATGTTATTGCAGATGTATGTCAGTTTGTATGTTGTGCGTGTGTACACATGTGTGTATATGTAATGTGGTGTATGTGTATTATGTGTGTTAGCTTGTTTTGGCGTTTGTATGCATGTATGTATGTATGTATGTATGTATGTCTGTTCGTATGTAAGTAAGTATGTATGTATGCATTAAGAAGTATGTGTGCATGCACATACACATTCGTGGATTTATGCACACACACACACACACACACGTGCACGTGTCCAGGTACCTCAGTCCGAACTAGACCTTTGGCCACCTACGTCAACCTGGGCGATCCTTCCTCGCAGATGGGACAGGGGTTTCCTCCGTCGGGCTGTTCCAAATCCTGGTCCCCTCCATGTATTTATGTTAGTGCAGATATAGGAACTTCGTGGAGCGGCTGCTGCGGAGTCTTTGCACTTCACCCTACAACGTACACACGAAAGCAGGTCTATCCTCTTGCCCCAACTGTTCCGAAGTCCTACAAGTGGCCTCGACAATTGAACATGGTTCGTCTTGCTGACAAGACTGGCGCAGGCCTCAGGACCAGCATTGCTTCCGGCACGAAAATTGCTAGTCTCAATGGTCATAGTTTCCGCTTAGGACCCCGACGATGGCGAAGAAGAAGAGGCAGAGAGTGAAGTCAAGGAGAGAAACCTGAAGAACCAGGCGGAGGAAGCTGGCCCTTCCGTGGGAAGCTGAGTACTTGCCTGACCGTGCCTTGCAGGCTTGCCCTCGATTTTCAGAGCAGTATACTGCATCGCAGGCTTAAGTGGTACATGTGCGACAAGTCTGTTTAGATGTGATGTCGTTCGGAGACCGTGCTCGAAATCCAAGAGGAGCCGCGACTGCAGGTGATACCGCACGGTGCCGAAAAGGTCGAAGAGGACGACGACTTGCCAGACGAGGCCCTCTGCGTTTGGAGACCCGAGCTTCAGAGCCTTATACGCAAAGCCGTAACAAGTCCTTGAACCTGTTTGTGAAGAACTGTCAACTGCGAAGTAGTTGCTCCGCAGCGAGTTTGCATCAGCCCTCACTGTGCCATGCTGGTTCGATGTCCCAGAACAAAAGTCAGGCAAGAGAGAGTGTTTGGATTCAAGGGTCTGAGCTTTAATTTCAGAGTTTCACATGTAGGATGTCTAAGCACGGTTTCGGACGAAGGCGCACGCGATTCCGGCTGCTGGCCCAGAGCACCCCGGCCTATTACATCGACATTGCGACGCAGTGCAACTGGAACGGGGTGTTGCTTTGATTATTGGGCTTTCACAGGAGCTGAGGCTCCTGTATTGCTGGGACCTCGCGAACCACACTCTTATGCTTTGCATGCTTTGCTTGTATAACCCTCGCGGAGTGGCTGCCGGCAGCAAGGGACGATGTGTACGAAGAGGGCTGCGAGTGTCGCTCTATGCCTTGTGCTTCCTGTTTGTTGTGGTGATATCTTCACGAAAGACCGCTGGACCTAAGCATCCCTTACTGCCCGATTTTTGGTAGCCTAAGCCGCGCAGCTGCCTGACAGGTTCTTGTTAAAGGGGCTTTGAGGTTTAGATTCTTTGCAGCTCATAGCGTAGAGTGGCTTGCAGCGTCTGAACTGGCTAAGACTTGGTTTTCAAGGCCGGGTGCCCAAGATATGCCCACGACAACGGATTCCTTTTGAATTTGTCGTTTGCTAGACTTAACCACTAAGCACCTACTGTATAAACGCATTTTAAGGCGCTCTTGACTGGGTCTCTTGCCTCCGTCCTCTTCTGAACATCGCAGTCTGAGGTCTGCCGCTGGAGACCCTCAAGCTCAAATCTGAGAGCTTTATACTTTACACCCCAAAGTCCTTCACAGTATGGCTTAAGCGCTGAGCCCCTGAAGGCCCTCAATGGTCTTCGGCCCTGCAGCTCCAAACAGCGGCGACCTAGGTGCCACCTTTTCACGCTCTGGGAGTACCCGAAAGGTGCACCGACTTATGCTCCTCGACGATGGAATCAGTTGGGAGGCCTTTGTGGTGTATTGCGGCGGAGAAGGGTTTCAGATTTAAGGTTTAAAGTGAGAGCTCTGTCAAGGGATTGCGGAAAAGAAAAAGGAGGGATGCCTGTGCTACACAACATAGCTGGTGGAATCCTCAATACCGGGATCCCTAGGGCAGCGACCCTAGCTACTACCCATCCTTGTCACACCTTCTTAAGCCTTAAGCTTGGATCGCAAACACCAAAGAAGATCTGTTTCTGGATAAAGCTCATGTTGTTCTAAACCCCGCTGGCTCTCCGAGTCTTCGTTGGGACCCGTCACGGTTGCAAGGGATTTCCAGTCGCGGCATCAGCCTTCCGATCAGTTTCTTAGAGCCCCTGCGACAACAGGTGTACACGGATTTTGGGTCGCTGATTGAAAGGGTGTAGATGAAGCAGCTGGATCCCTCTACAAGTACTCATATATCTCTCACCCCAAGCCCGAAAAGCAGTGCCTAAGCTTAGGTCCGCCTGAATATTGAGTCCTGGCGCCGGCACTCCCATGGCCGCTGTGGCCTACTCAGTCGGGCTGCGGACACGTTCCACACAGGGTTCTGTAGATTGTTATGATGCTTCCTCGGATGATGTCGTTGCAATGTATTTTTGACATACTGGCGAGATTATGATTCCATGGTTCAGGGTCGTGCATGATAACAGACATTCGTATCCTCGCGACGTTCACTATCGTCATCATCTGATCTCAAGATCAACATCACAATAAAGCTAGTCATGCAAAAGACTGGCAAAAGTACGGATATCATAGCTCAGCCTTTGAGAACGATAGTGAGTAGTTGCGGAGTAGAAGTTCTTTCTGACAGCCAATGATGCAGGGACTTCTGTCCCGTGGATTGGGAAGAGGTAACAATCGCGGCTTGCAGGGTAACGCCCAGCGCAAAAGCTCAAAATCGAAGGCCCGAGCCCAAGACCCAAGCTCCTCCTTGAGAAAAGCCTCTACCACACCAACACTGGAGGTGGGGAGCCGATCTTCCTGAATGAGAAGAACCTCCGGGAGTACATCCCCGACCTGCCGGAGGAAGGGGGCCTCTAGCGATAGCGATAGGGCTCGCATTTGAAGTTCGAACGGTTGGTTGAATTTCAATGATTCGGCTTGCTTGCGCTCGGGGTGGAGTCTACAGGGTTCAGTGTGCTGAAGGTGCGATTGGCTTCAGTGCCGTCCCGGTGTGTGATAGAGGGTGCAGGGCTTCAGGTTTCGTCGAACCAAACCAGGCCGGTTGAAGGTTTTCCCGGACGGAGCTCGAATTCAGAGCCGGTGAGTTCGACGATCATCTTGCTTCAATGAATGATATCAATGCCAGGCTATTCCTCGACCTTGCCAGGTGATGCACAATGCGTCCTCCTGTCTTCGATTCTGTCATATCTCTGACAGCAATGTCCATGAGCTTATACTTGGCTTCACTTTGCATCTCGCACAAGTCGCTTTCGTACCTCGGCAGCTAGTGTGCCCCCATGTCATACCACTGGTCACTTGCCTTCGAGCATTCCTCATCGGAGCCTGTAAGCCGCGGGATAAATTCGTTCAGACCCTTCCCTAACTCTGCGCCATGAGTTCGCAATTTAAACTCCCAACTCCTGCTTGCCTAGGACCAGAAACCATGTCAGTAACAGCGTCCAAAAACCGTAGTTTCAATTCCGAACATTGCCATTGTTCAGGAGTACTTCAAACTCCCATACCAGGCTTGCAAGTCGGATGTGGCAACAGGCTCAGAAGTATTACTGCTTGTCGGTTGCAAGGGCAGAGGCATGCGCATCCAGTATTCGATTCTTTTTTCTTGTACATGGATGGATGATGGACCTGCAAACAATGGTAACAGGATTCCGTTATACTAGTTCATATGGCACTAAGTGTAGTTTTTACATCTATAGCAAGTGGCTTCACCCCGCAATTTGCCACCGAACTTTTACCACACAAGGTCCGGTATGCCGTTATCTACCATCATGGTGGGATCTACATGGACACTGACTTCCTCGTGGTGCAGGATGATTCTGCAGATGGCCGCCTGCAGAGAGAATCCCCCCTCCTATCGTACACCTGTTTCTTGTTGGTGTAATCCCTGGCTTGGATTCTTCTATCGCCATGCACTGTGCAGCTCCGGCTGCCTTCAGCGACAAGAAGCGGGCATGGAAAAGCCTGTGCTTGTGTTCCTCTTCGTGTCTTGTCAGAACTTGTTGCAGGATTTGGATCCTGTCATCGACGTGCTCAACCTGGACTTGGTTTCATACTCTGGAAGCAATCCTAGAGGATCGGCCAGGGTCAAGTTCTCCCCGTCAGTGTAGTCCACCTGAAGATAGGATAGCAAGAACAAGCACGACCTGCATTGCGGGTGGAGCCGGGTTTGTAGCGATGTCGTTCCAAGGGAGTGCGTTTGCTTTCGGTGGCTATAGCGTGTTTTGTGGACTAGTGGGCGTAGCCTGCGCTCGCTTGTCGGACACGAGAGATTCAGGAGGCAAGTCGAGTTGCAAATGTGAAATTGGAGATCACACAACGAACCCTCAATTCTGAATGGGCTGCTGCAGTGACATGCACACGTTGCCGCAGTGCGTAGCAGGCCCGTGACGGAGTTCTCAACACGGTGGGTTCGAAGAGCACAGCTACTAAAGTCGAGCATTGAGGATACCGTGCTGTTCCACACTAGCGTTTCCTCGAGGCACCTATACTGCGAGGGCAGCTAGCCACAAGCATGGATCCCAAAAGAGAATTGGACCCTGCATTGCAATTCTCGTTGCATGTCAACTTTCTGCACAACATGTCCCATGCCGATCCCTGAGCCCCGGGAGTTTAAGCAAGAGGATTGGGTGCAGGGGTGGAGGATTTTGATTTCGGTTGGCATGCTTCTTCCGAATCTTAAAGCGCTTCAGGGACGGTAGGCCGGTAGGGCTGCCCGAGGAGGCAAGGAGTGCCCTGCTTCCTTCAGCTCGAACTTCCTGGGCGGTCGGAAGGGGAGCCGCTTTCACAAAGCGCTTCTCGGCGATCCTAAGGAATTCCGGATGCTGCATACACACGGATGCAACGAACAGTAGTGCCACTGAGCAAGCACGGTACATCTTCCTCGAAAACGCCGGCGGCCGCGTTCAGAGTTGGAGTAGTGTGGGCAGATATCGAACAGTGATGTTCCGTCTCTGGTGGGGAATAGGAACAGGTGGCATTTAGCAGAAGCCACCCTCACATAGAGCAGTTCCACTCGAACCTCACCGAGACTAGGGCTAGGCGAGGGGGCGTAACCTGATCCTGAGGACCACTGAGAGAAGAAAAGGGGACAGACACACAGATGAATGAGATACCTGCACGTGCGCGGAGTTGAGGGCAAGTCCCCAGCTCCGCACAAACATAATTGTTTTGAGCTGCTGTGGTTATCACATCATTGCTCGAAGGCTCCCCAATGAGGCTCGAGTCCAGGCTTTATTGCACCATACAAGCTGAGAGGGCGATGCGAGTGCAACATGAACAATACTAATGTCCAGATGCTTAGGAAAACGCTGATGCAAGTGGTTTGCACGACATAGAACCGAACACACACACACACACACACACACACACACTCGCACGCACGCACACACGCACACACACACACACACACACACTCGCACGCACACACACGCACACACGCACACACACAGACAGACAGACAGAAAGACAGACAGACAGACAGAGAGAGAGAGAGAGAGAGAGACAGAGACAGAGACAGACAGAGACAGACAGAGACAGACAGAGACAGGCAGAGACAGACAGAGACAGACAGACAGACACACAGACAGACACACACACACACCAGGCTGCCAGAGGCTTGTGTGTTGCATAGTTGGACATTAGGCACATCACAACTCGCTCGGGGACCTGTCTCCTGTCTATCCAAACGCTCTTTGTCCCGATATCTCTCCAAAATGTTTCAGAGATTGCGAATAAAGGCAGGCAGGTAGATCGGCAGGCGTAGGTACAATCATTCGCGCTGTCTGTCTGTCTGTCGGTCTGTCTGTCTGTCTGTCTGTTTGTCTGTCTGTCTGTCTGTCTGCCTACGTGTATGTAGGTTTATGTATGTGTATATGTGTGCGTGTGCATATGCCCAGGCATATGTGTACGAATGTGACATAGGTTCGATGCATATATAAATGTTGATATGTATATGCATATGCATGCATGTCTTCTGCCTGTACTTACATATCTGTACGTAGACATCTATCTGTTTGTCCGTCTATGTGTCTGCCTGTCTCCATCTGCATGGGCATGTGTGATGTATGTATTTACGTATGTAGGTATGTATGTATGTATGTATGTATGCATCTTTATGTTTGTTTGTTTATTATATGTACGCGCATTTATGCATACATCGAATATTAGCTACTGTATACAAATACACGAGTATACTTGTGTTGATGTGTTTCTGTATATGCACCTGCAGATTCATCCGCCCCACCCTCGACCCTTCCATGTGTTGCTACAGACGGCGGATGGACCGACAGAGAAAAGACGTACGTGCAAAAAGACGGACGAAAACAGGCATGCAGGCATAGCTAGTCTTCACGCACGCCCAGAGAATTGACTGTTATCATGTTGGACCTCTGTTGGCGTCAGCATGAGGGCTGCATAGCTTCCGATTCCCGTCAGCTTCTTGTTTTACGTGCATCGTTGCTGGTGTGAGCTGTTTTTTTGCAACTCAGGGTCTACGATGCTGGGAGCTGAGCTAGTTGACAGTCCAGTTTACCATGTGCCTCAGGGAGAGGAGTGACGGTGTCGCAATTCAACTTCCCATGATTCAGAAGTTGATGTTCGTGCAGCACGAACCCAGGCACAGATCGAGAAGATGCGAGACTTCTGCCCGGTCTCTGAGAAGGCCACCGCGCCTGACTTACAGTCTGGGATAGCTTAGTATGTTCACACACGCATCGCACGTAGGCTCGCACAGCCAACCGCGCCGTCTGACTAGCCCATGCACGTGGCATTTCGCCCATGTTTAGCTAGAACAATGCTAGAAATGCTAGCACTACTCGCCTCGTGTGCTGGCTTAGCACAGAAATACATGCATTGATGTCATTTGTGCGGAACTTGAGAAACGGCTGGTGATGTTCATGACGATGATGGAGTGGTCATGATGAGGTTGGTGATGGTGACTTGTTGCTTTGCGAAAGTCTCTCCTCATTCATCCTTCTAGTCGAAATTGGTGCTGGCATTACGTCCGCAACGATGACAGCCCCCCGATTGTGTCCATGATTGCCTGCGTTGAGCTGTGATATTCTCAGTGATCTTGCGTCCTGATAAAGGATTTTTTCATTGTGGTCAGGGCAAGCTCGTGAATGGCAAGGAGCGGTTCTGCTGCTTTGAGGAGAAGGGTGCCGCCGGGTAGCAAGGAAGCCGACGTTTCGGGCATCCTCACCAAAGCAAGCTTCCGAACAAAGCTTCCGGGGAGGCTGCGGGGTTGGTTCGAAAACTTCTGACGTTTGCTTCTTCGGGGATGCAGGGTTTTCCAAGCTCGAAGCTGCACCCTCGCGAAAGCCCACCGAGATCGGACCCTTCAGCCGCAAGCCTCCCGAACACAACATTCGGACAGCGGGAGTGAGCAGAAGCTCTGTGTGACTTTGCAGCAGAAGGTTCTGTGCGATGTGCCATGGGCTTCCATCGGGGAGGGCGTTTCTCACGATGTCCTCAAAAGGCCGGGCGCAGCGCTGGAGTTGGTCCAGATGCAGCCTTCTTCAGATCGATGCAAAGATGTCTTATTAGCGGTATTTGTGTCTTAACCATACAGCCCTCGGCGTGCTGAAGTCCGCGCACGTCACGAAGCCACATCCCCGGATTAAGCTTGCAGGCGTGACCCGGCAGCATTCTTTACGTAGGCCCCTGTTCGTGCGATTCGTTCATGTGGTTTCCGGTGAGCGCTGTTCGCAAAACTCTGCCGTTAACATCCAAAAAAGTGGCTGTAGTCCACAAGAGAGCCATGGCATACGCGCAATCCTTTCTGAACAGGCTCAATGCCGGGCCGGACCGCATCACTTCCCACTGCTTTGCCGGAGACGATTCGTTCGTTCCTAACGACATGGAAGGGGTGCTGCTGACCCCTGGCAGCACGCTGTACTGGGAACTTGTCATCCAAAGTTTGGCTGAAGTCGTGTTCGTAAGAGGTTTAGATGGCAGCAACAAATTCAAGCGATTGCGTATGCTGCGGGAAGGTGGACGCCCGGAAGTGAGTTGGGAGCAACCGACCGGCAGAGTGAATGAGAGGTTAACGACGCAAAACCACCTCGCGCTACCTGCAGCTTGTACAGGAACGGCAGCCAATGTTACTGGCTCCACACAGCGCACAGCATTCGTTCACCATGAAGTCGTTGATGAAAGCAGCTTAACTCCGCTTTGAACCTTCCACAACATGAGGACAGGCAGTGAATTGTGATGGTAATGCTTTGAACTTAACGTCGAACGACCCAGCGAACTGAAATCAGTTCGGAACTGATCAGTGCGCCGCCACCCCAAGGCACGCGCCGCTGATCGACGACGCTCAACGAAGGTTCGGCAGACAGGGTGTCGGACACTGAGTTGTTGGGGTAGTGATTCGCGTAATCTTGCTGTTCATGCCATGGTGGTCGGCATGCACATTGCTTGTCAGATCTTGTCAGTAAGTACTCTTCCTTTTTGCAGGCTTTATGCTTTGGTGCAGCGGTCTTTTGTGCGAAAGATCTTTTTGCATCGCGAGCAGTGGTCTGAGAGCAGCTTCAGCAAGGACTTCTACTACTTACCACTACCGCTACTTCTACTACCACTACACCCACCACTCCTACCATCGCTTCCACGATTACTACTACCACCACCACTATTACTATAACTACAACTATCACTATTGCTATTACTACGACTACTGCTGCTACTGCTGCTACTGCTGCTGCTGCTACTACTACTACTACTACTACGACTCCTGCTACTACTACTACTACTACTACTACTGCTACTGCTACTGCTACTGCTACTGCTACTGCTACTACGACTCCTGCTACTACTACTACTGCTACTGCTACTGCTACTGCTACTGCTACTGCTACTGCTACTGCTACTGCCACTGCTACTGCTACTGCTACTGCTACTGCTACTGCTACTGCTACTGCTACTGCTACTGCTACTGCCACTACTACTGCTACTGCTACTGCTACTGCTGCTGCTGCTGCTACTACTACTACTACTACTACTCCGACTACTGCTACTACTGCTACTACTACTACTGCTACTGCTACTGCTACTACTACTACTGATACCACTACTGCCGCGTCTACTACTGCTACTACTACTACTACCACTACCACTACCACTACCACTACTCCTCCTCCTCCTCCTGCGGCTGCTGCTGCTGCTGCTATTGCTATTGCTATTACTGCTATTACTGCTATTACTGCTATTACTACTACTACTACTGCTACTACTACTACTCCTACTACTACTACTACTACTACTACTACTACTACTACTACTACCACTACTACTACTACTACTACTGTTTGTACTTTCTGCTGCCACGGCCGCCACTACGGCCGATACTACTCCGACGACTACTGCTACGACGACGACTGCTGCTGCTGCTGCTAATTCTGCGATGGGTGCTGGAACCGGTACTAGTACCAGTACTAGTACCCATACTGCTCGTAATTACTCGCACTCGTACTGAGTCGTTGTTCTGCTTGCGGGAGCAGTAGCCGTCGTCAGCTGAGGTTCAGAAACCGCTGGATCGAATTGCGCATCGGGGCAGCTTTTCAATCTGCGGAGCGAGATGGTTCTGGCTTTATCAGGGCAGGAGTGAAGGTTTGGGAGGCCAGATTTGGATTTGCTTGGGCTATCATCCCGTCGGTTGGAATTGAATGTGTTACTTCCCCGACTCATTGTCAGTTGCTTGAAACCGTGAAGCTGGCGAACTGCACGCTGGCGACTCGGGTCCTGGTTCAGTGATAAATAGGATACACGTGCTGAGGTCTGTCTGTACTTGGACCTATGAGGCTTCAGAGGGTTCCACATGGTGGATGAAATGCGCACGTCCGTGTCGGCTCTGGCTGGAGTGAGGATTCTTCCCTCAGGCCAGGTTTGCGTGGTGTGGTGTCGCAGAGGGCAGCCATCGGAACTCACAAGCCTTGCTGTATAAACCCAGAAGCTCTCAAGCTAAGCCTTACAGTTTTGGGTCCTACCCGCTTGAAGCGCGCCTGGGTGAATCTCAAGGAAAGGTTCAGGGTTGGTGCTAGCGCATACGATAAGCACAAGAGGTTCCTGTTTAGACTCCTGGATTTCCTTTTCAGCTGTGCTTCGAGGTTTGCAGAGGAGGGTGCTCCCGGTGCCTGAGGTATCACCTTTTCAACTCGCCAGGGTCCCAGAACTGGTCTTGTCACTGGGAGGCAGTCTTCAAATATGCATCCTTGTTACGGTACCGGGGACAGATAGCTGACGTCGGAGATGTGCGGATGGACAGAGGACAGGTAAGGCATAGCGAAGCAGCAGGTAACTAAAAGAGCAACCCAGTGGAAACAAGCAGGCAGGAGATAGGATGATCAACAAATAGACGAATGTGAGGCTTTGTCGGCTTGTGGCAGAACCTGCAACCAGCGGTTAGCTTGCGACCCTTACAGCAACGAGCCAGGGCAGCTAGGGCTCGATGGTTAGATTCGGGGTGTGGTTTCATCGGGCCTGAGCCTGAGGCAATTACCTCTGAATCCTCAGAAAACCTGCCTCCGAACCCTGTAGGGCCGTCCCTCAATTCGAGCTCGCAACTCGAGTTTCCGAAACTCCCGGGTCCCAAACCCCTCCGAAGCCATGAAACCCGCGTGCTCTAGACCCCAGCAGACCCTTTCAGCCTGAAACAAGGCTGTCCGCTTGCCCGAGCACAAGTCAAGAAAGACGAAGCGAGGGATACCGCAAATCTATAACAAAGAGCTTCAACCTCGCAGCATCAACTGTGGCACAATGTGGCAACAAGATTCGCATGAATATCTCGTACTCGAACTCGAGTTAGTGCTGATATCCAGATCAAACGCAAAAGTAATCTTGCATATGTCTTTGATGTCAAGCCGAGCCATATTGTTGGCAGCACTTCAAAAGAAGGACATTGTAACGCTACCATGAGGATGACCTCTCTGCAGTCCTGGTCCTGCAAGCGCCTCTCCAGCAACACCACCTTGGTCAGCGCACTTTACCTCAGGCGAGAAATCGTCGAATCTTGTTCTTTCGTATAGGGGGTGGGGTGGGTGGGGGGGTGTTGAGGAGTTGGGGCCTCACAGTTCCAGGTTCTAGTGTAGAAGATAGGGCTTCAGGCCTCCGCTTTGCGGTCTACAGCCTGAAGTTTAGGTACCTCACGGTTTGCAGAAAGGAAATACAAGCACTTCAAACTCAATACTGCTAGGCCCGAAGCCCTAGTGAACGGTATCCTAGTCGTAATTTGAGAAGGATGATATGTGGCCGAGGCTGCTTGGATTGTTTCGTTCATGCGACATCTCGCAAATTTCCTTGCCAGTGACTATCATTCAGAATTGCCTTTTTGAAGTCTGGCGTTATCGGCAAAGTCATTGGGTGAGCGAGTGACTCACTGCGCGAGGTGCGGCATGCAGTTGGCGTGCTGATCCTCACCAAGCTCCCCAACTCATTGCCCCCTCGACTGGCAAACACCCTCGTACAAAGCCGTGGTGAGGTCCGAAACACACCAAAGAATCATGACAAGCCTTTGGGGCGACAGCAAGGCGTAGACCAGGCGAAAGTCTGAGCCTGCTTTATTGACCTGGCACATCCCAGCACACCTCCAACATCTAAGTCCTATTTCTGTGCAGGAGCTTCACTACTGGGGCTGGCTCCAAGCTGCCTGGATGCATGACGGGATGATGAACTTGACTTTTGTTTGGAGTAGCTTCTTGTCACGGCCGCATTCGCAGCAACCGCCCGAAACTTGGAGCTTTCGAGTCGCACCTCCTAGTCTGTCAGATCTTGGTCCGCCTTGAATCCCGCATGACTCTTCGGGAGGTCAGCATTCGGGTCAGCACGCTCAGATCTGACGTGCCCACTCCACCTCTCTTCAGTGTCGCAGCAGCTCCCATGGGATGCTATGGCACTCCTTGTGTCCAATCTACAGCAGTTTATTGCTCACCGGTCTCCTCAATCTTCGTCTAAACCGGGTTCAAAGAATGGGTTCCACAGCGTTGTCGGCTCGTCGGGGCCATGGGCCACTTCCGAACACGTTCCGGTAGCAGGCTTCAGCGCGGCTCGCAAAGCAGAAGGTTGAACCAGCCAATGAAGCCACGATCACATGACCTCTCCTCTTACATAACCCAAGCCCCGAGCCTAAACCGTGGACCGGCAAAGCCTGCATTGCTCAAGACCTGAGCGACATTTGGGAAGGCTTGTAAACACCCGGATCAGATCCAGGACCGTCACCGGCCTGGAAGCATCTGAGTTCCTACGCCTGAATGCAGACTTTCGCGAGCACAGCAGGCCGAAACTCTACTAAGCTATAGATACGTTGCAGGTGCTGCATACAGGCCAAAGATGTGTGGCTGAACATTGCAACGATCACTTTTGATCACATGTTCTTGCTGTTAAAGCTTCTAGCTCTAGCTTATTGATACCAGTCGTCGTTGTGGTTTGGGGTTTCTTGCCGCTTTCATTTCATCCAAGAAACCTGGGCGCAGCAAAGGGGTTTGACGTGTTGGCATGTTCTGGTCAAGGCCGGGTGGGGCTCAGCAAGATCAATTGGAATGAGTTGCAGTTGAAATTCTTGGTTTCTCTGGCAAATACAACTGCGAAGATGACTGCAAGATTGCTTCCTGCAAAATGCCGCTGATGCATACCTGTCCGGCCAGACCCTTGGTGGGGGGAAGCACCGTTCCGTGCACGCAGCGCGACCAATTCTCCAACGTGGCCGAGACACTCCTTCCGCATTGGAAGTCGACCATGCTGTTTTTGCTGTGAGAGGTGCTCGTAGGCTTTCATTCCCCAGTCAAGACATACGGAGAATAAATTGCTGTGCACCCGGCCGTCCTTGCTGTACTTGAGGATGCTACCTGCGCCATCTGGAAGCGCAGACAGTTCGAAGTGTTCCTGGGCACTCCTCCATTCAGCGGCGGAACCGTGCCATATAGTTGCAGGCATAACGGCTGTGATCCAAACTGAAGAAGACCTGGAAGAACTTCTGCATTGTACATCCTTGCGGTCGGCCTCGCAGGGCACTAGTGCCGATGCTTCCAAGGCAAGGTCTTCACGATGGCTTACCCTGATGCGGATGGCATTCCCCTTGCATTCCACTTGAACGAGCCTCGCATGCAGAGTCACGCCTCAATGACTCAGGTCAGGAACGGTTTCAGAGCAGTCGTCATACTGACATTGAGAGCTACTAGTACTATGATGAAGTAGAGTAACACAGCAAGATCATGACCAGCAATCGTCAGCATGACTGTGTCCGTCAGAGCTTTAACACTTTACATGGGAGTTTTATAGGACTTTGCAGGCTCTCTCTCTCCGTCTGTTGTATACATACATGCATGCATAAAATGCATCTCATTACGTTACATTACATTGCGAAAATACATACATGCACACATACATACGTACATACATACTTGTACATCCACTGTACTTGTATATACTCACTTACTAGGTCAATGTGCTGTATGTTTCATAAGCACAGAGATGCATTTGTACATGCATATGGGCGATACACGCATGTGGCTCCCCCACCCCCGTCGACTCGTCGCCTTTGGTTTGAGAGAACATTTCACACCCTTTCACCCAATAGAGCTACCAAACACCAAACCAAAACAGACAGTGTTAAATCATGACCTATGCAGGTCCCTAGTGCAAGTCAGGTTAGGTCCCTGTTTTATGCCATCCGTTCGGCTGGTCTCTCTTTGCATGACTGGTTAATGACCCACACCACGTCGTCACCAGTCCTTTCACTTTGCCCCTCTGCTTAGCAAGGCCATCAAACAAGCAAGTCGATTGGCGTCATAGTTTTATGGTTCTGGTGCGGCCCAGGGGCCCCAGGGATGATTGGGTCCCAAACCGTCCACAGCGTCCGCTCTGTTTGTTTACATATACCAGTACGAGGGTAATCCATTCATTGTGCACCACCCGACTGTGTACAGGCCCTCACCATGCCAGCTTATTTTTCCTGTATGGTTGGCAACACCACCCTTAGCAGAGCTTAGCTGTTCATATACCATATGCTCAAATCGAGTGGCTTCTATGCTTCAATGATGAAGGTTCTGCGGTGGTTTAGCGAACCCTATGATAGAGTAGACCACTGCTGTCTGTCTTACCCATACTTCATTAATCTGTTCATACTGTCCAAGATGATCTGTTGAGGACCCGTTCCGTTGCACCGGCGATGCTTTCGTCGTGTTATCATTTCGTTATCATTTCGTTGTGTTATCATGGTTGGTGCCGGGAATATTTGTTTGATGGCGCAAGCTGCGAATGTCGGTTCCCAACGCCCTAAACACTATGGAGGCCAAGCTTACACCCATAAGTCATTTTTTGAAATCTACTTAGTCTGGTCCTGAAGCCCTGATTCATGACAAGACCTTTTTCCGAACTCATCTTCGTCATGTCTATGCAATTGCTTTTCGCCAGTTTGGCATTGTTATCCTTGCTTTCATCGTGAAGGTGCCGTTTACATGTGTTCAAAGGCCCAGGTTTGAACAGCCCTCAGGTGAATTCTTGGCAGCGCCATACCCGCGATGTTTGTGATGATCCAGTCCTTATCAACGACACCAATGCCAGGGGCTCTTGGGAGTGCGGACTACGACGTCAGATGTTCATGGGTCGGATGTCGGGGTTTGGAAGTGGCTCTGGTTCAGAGTTAAGCTAAGCTAAGAGCTGTGTCTTCGACTCTGCGGCTTCGGCTTTGGAAGCGAAGGGGTTTTGTCGTGCCGTGTTTAGACTTAATGGAGCAGGGTGGCAGCATGTGGCGGCAGCTTGAGGGTTTGGGCACACATGGGTAGGGTGCACATGAAGGGCCTGCGACACAAAGGCATCCATGATGCCGCACTCTGTCTGCACTCACTGATACATACCCTTGCCCCTCGTCCTCGGAAGACGGAAACCTACATTATCAAAATACGCCAGAGAAGCTCGGTATCCACCATGTCGGTACAGGTGAAGTACTACATCCCGGATCTGCCGAAAGAGTACTTCCAGCTGCCCGGGAGCCAGGACACGAACCAAGCACTGTGCTCACTACACTATATACCATAGCTGCACAAGGGTGAGCTGATGACCTGTATTTAGCTCCTTAGCTAGCTGTCAGCTGCTGCATGCTCTTGGAACTGGAACGAAGGAGCTTGACACCACTGTAGTGTCAGATGCTGGTAGAAGACACTTGCAACTAAGCAGCAACATGACTGCAACAAGTTGAGAAGTTGCACCTTAACTCCTCAGTGCTTCACTTCTGCGTGGGACGTGGGCTGGGGTCTTCTAAATTATGGCCCCCGTCTGCGTCTAACTCTCTGGACACTTGCTTGTATTCAGGATACCAAATATTGCCATCATGTGAGGCAGAGGCAAACACCGGTGCCCGTTTACGACGGCAGCAATGCCAAGACCAGACAAGCGACCCGTGCGTGTATATGAATGATTCAGTGAGTATATGCGAACTTATTGTATAACATATATATATATATATACACAATCAAACGGAAACAAACAAAGACTACATACACAACAAACCAATAAGCATGCAACCTCAAATCTGAGGTGGTCAATGGTGTCTTACACTATAGCTGATTGGTACCCTGCATTAGGAGAAGCTGGACTTGATCCGACACGGCTGCTGGACAGAACTAGGTCGAGGGTTGGTGTTGTTTTTTGAGTTTACTCTTGAACCCGTGTTACTCTTACTACGATTGTCATGTTGTTCTTGTCGCCTGCCGAGCAAGGCGCAAGAGACTTGCAAACTGCCGGTCTTGCCAGTCTTACCCCTAACTCAATCGACCCTTGCCTTGCAGCCGTGGTGGTCGTGCTAGCATCACCATTGCGGCTAGCCCGGGTGCGGCGCCTGCACATGCGCTTCGCCTTCGGATGCAGAACTCGAATGGAGGGGGTGATGAAGCCGAAAGAAGCTTCATGATTCTTCTCCAGCAACACTTCACAGAACACGTCCTGCCTGTGGACCTTTGGGTCTAGAGTCTAAAGAGACCTACTGGAATCCATGGTGAAAACAAATGCGGTCGTGTGCGGCTGGCTAATCTAGTCTAAGGTTGAGAAACCTCACACTGGCCCAATCCTGCCTGAGGAGACGGTGGGACGTGCATGACAGGGTGACGAAAGCCAGGGGTGGAGGGCAAACATCAAGCAACACATACGGAGAGAGTCTTAAGAGGTCGTCGGACTTCTGTTGTCATGCTGATGGCTGTCACCTGGACCGCGGAAAGCAAGCCAACCATCCGACCGGAGCAGGGTGCGAGATGGTGCCAGCTTTAAACTCCGGAGCCTCGAGTCAATGCACACCGGTACATACTGACGGTAGTGCTCTCCTACTACAACCTCGCGTATATGTAACTGTCGCGCACAACTACATTATACAGATGTACATGCAGTTGTATACAGATAGGCATACAATGTCACATAGTAGCGATTATATACCTGCGAAAGCCTTTTTCTCAGCATGTGGGCCCCCGAATGTAGGTTTTGGGATGCCCAAATTCTGTAATAATGTCGTGTGAACTGTGCCCGTACCATAAATAGCGACGTTTCAGGCACCGGGCATGTTCCTGACACCCGAAAAAACAGCTCCCTTTGATTCGATACAGGTATTGTCTACCCCAAGCCATACTTTGAACATTCAGGCTTTATCTTCGTCACCTCAGAGCTCAGTACTGACGCTCCCGAAATTGTTCACAACCGAGTGATGCTGTCGAAAGCCTTGAAATGAGGCTTGATCTACCATCATGGAGGCCCGCTCGCCGTACAGTGTTGATGTGATTGAATTAAGTTTTTGCTGGTCGGCTGAGCAAAACTCCAAGCGAGCTTCGTAGGACTCCAAGCCCAAAGCCCAAAGCCTTCAATACCTTGCCGTCCCAGAGAGGCGCTTTAATTGAATCAGCATGTGCATGTCGCGATAACAGGGGAAAGAAGCAGGTCTAGAGATGACGTGTTTAGAGACCGATGGGAACAACCCGCAGCGCAAATGCCCAGGGATGGTGCTCCAGTGGGTCCCGCACCTACAATGCTGTTCGTGTTCTGCTCCGGGAACATGTTGGGGAATGTTGTGGTTCGGAGTAATGAACATTAACGACGTGATCCGGTCTCTGTGCAGATGTGATGGAGAAGGCGCTAGCCTTTCGGTATGGTGATGCGGATAGAAGTTTGCAATATCCAGCGCGGCCGCTGTCAACCAGTGGAATGTGGAGGCAGCACTGAAGGTGGCCATCACAAGCAAACCGGGGTAGTTTTACAGCAATCCTTGCAGCTTGCCTTTTTTCTGAACGAAGTGAGCATATGATATTAGTGGGTTATGTGACATTTGAACCTGCCGAGGATGTTGTGTTCCTTCAAGACCTGAATCACGTGGTGGAGAAAATTTGGCAGCATGCTCCTAGCCTGCACTGTCCAATAACGAGGAGAGCTGCCAGTAGCAGACATCCAGCCGAGTGGTCTCCAGCTTGAATACAGAGACTATTGTTAGCTGCGGCGATGATGATGATGACCTTGATGATAACGATGAGGAGAAGAAGGACGTGGGGCTGGTGGTGAATAACGCTTGTCGCAGGAAGATTTCGTAGGACAATAGCACTTGCTCCAACGCGGGTGCACAACTCTGAAGTGGCTCTGGCGTCCGGAAGAGATCCAGTGGCACTTGAATTGGTGTTGTGACAATGGGAGCTACATGTCCATGTCTTTTGGCGCAGCCTTCCAGGTTGGCACACAAGACTTGCCAGCCAGAAGGCCCAGAGTGCTGGTGACTGGTTGTGTCATCATTGGTTATTGTTCTTTGTCATCATGATCACTGTTGTTGTATGAAAAAGCCGCACTACACGGACATAACCTGATGTACGTGATGCTGCTGGTGCGACACAGCAGCCTTTGCTTAGGTTAATTTTAAAGGTCATAGAGTGTTTGAGGTGTGCAGGAACCGACGTCTTCCTGGTGCTTGCAGCTTCAAAACTGATCTAGCTAAGGACTTGGTCTCGCAGCTTTGCTGCACTCGATGGTGGCTGAGGGGTTCAGTGCTTTTGTCTCGGAAGGAAGACCTTAGGGTTTAGGGTCCAGAGCTGGTACCTTCGCTACATTCATCTCTCAGAATCCTTCTGCCCTCTATCTCCAGAAACGCTGACCTAGCCGCCCATCCTAAATCTCTTGCACGCTAAACCATCTCGCAGCTTGGTATAATTGTCAGCAGTGCTGGGCTGGCTCTCTTGTAAGCAATGCTGTGCTAAGCATTGGGCATATCAGGTTGTGACATTGAGTCCCGGGTTGTCGTCACCTTTCTACGCGTCTGTAGCAAAGATGGATAGCAGCGGATAGCACCCAAAAGGCTCGACCAGTATGGTTTTCCGAGACAAGGGGAAACATCCCGAGATGAAGGTCTGAAGAGCGCAAGCAGGGCGAAAGCAATTCCTGCGGCGACTCCTGGCAGATTCTCTTTACTGCAGGCCGGTCTTTCGATGTTAACATGTTGAGGCCATGGGGCTTCGGCGTGAAGGGGTTTCAAGCATCACCAGATTCCACACAAATACGGTATTGAGTTCCTTCGGCTTCTGAGTTGAAGGTGTGCTCTGCATTTGTCACAGCGGGAATTCGAACTCCGGGCTGGCGCAATGATCAGATTGTAGCCGCTGAATCAATGACATCATTCGAAATCCTGGTGCTGGCGCTGTGGTTGTCCTTAGTTTCTTTATCCGATGGGTTCTGTGCTAGAGTCAAGCTTCTTGGTTTCTCGAACCCTCACTTTCCTATACTCTCATGATCTGTTTTGAATTCGGAACCGAAAGCTGCAGCATCTACGAGATCATTCAGTAGCGTACGCTTTCTGTTAGCACGCTCATGAGCCTCAGAGTCGCTGTGAAGCTGGTACTAGTGGTGTTAGCAGTTATCCATTGGTTGCTGGAAGTCATAACTGTGATGGGGAGTAACCAAAACCACGTCGTGTTGTTCATGGCAGGCAAGAGGGGCAGCCTCCTCCATGCAGCCATGTGGTTAGCTGCCAAAGATGCTGCTGCTCGGCAGCTTGGAAGTTCTGGAAGCTGAGTCAAACGATGGCTGCCAGACAACATGTCAGTAGCATTCTTGTGTCATTCCCGTTACTCGGTCGTGAATCAGAGTATGCCAAGCCCTCCGTGCAGGTTCTCAACCACTGTCCTCTTTCCGACAAGGCGCGGCTGGCTGGTTTGAATGATTGCCATGGCCAAGGTAGATCTTGAGTGTCTGACATTGCGAAATGCTACATGCTTGAGACTCGTTTTTTGCTGTTTGTGCCCCTTTGCAACTATGACGTACAACTCAAAAAAATCCTGCGCTTGCCAGCTTTTTGTTGATTCAACTCCTCAGTGTGTAATCATGTAGCTTTGCATGGGTGCACATGAAAGCCTCAGTCCTTCCTACTTTTAGTGCTAGGACGATAGCTATGATGGTAACGAAGTTCCTTGACTTGGATCACCATCGCCAGAGTTGTTGCTGAGTCACTGCTCACGACTAAGACTGTACAACATGCATGTGTTTTGTTCATGGTCAGGATCGGCAGCAGCATCTTCAACTTCGTCGCTCGAGTTGTGCTAGTTTTTCGTCCTGTCAGCTGTTTGACCGAGAGCTGCACGCCCAGACTCAGACTTAAGCCCGATCAGAAAACCGCAACGCGACATCAAAGCCTCCCGTTCACATTGCGGCAGTAGAGAAAGCCGCGAAGACAAATGACACACACGAGCTCTCCAGGCCATAACGGCAAGTCCTTAAATCTGGAGGCAGCGATGCCCAAAAAGCGAGAAAACAATTGCTCCTCGAAACAAGGCACGGACTGCAAGCGACAACCCCCCTGCTCGCAAACACGAAACGGTGGATCCCGTCGGTTATGCCTGACGAGTAGTTAGTAGAAATTGAAATTGTGGTTGTAGAAGTAAGTGCAATACTACTTCTAATAGTAATCGCAGTACTAGCTGCTTGTAGCACTAGCTAGTCACTAGCAGTTGTAAGATGGTTGTAAGCGTAGTTGTAAGATGAATTGTAGCACTTGTTGTTATAGGGGCAATTGTAGTAGTAGCTGTACAAGTACTCGTGATGCGGTGATACTTATAGGACACGGGGGTGTTCTTCTGCTGCAAGGTCGGGGGAGGGGGGAGAGCTCTCCCTAAATGGCCACGTCAGGACAAGGAGAAGCTCTGCTGCTTTAACGGTCCGCACAACTGCCACATCCCTGGCGGATCCTTGAGCGAGTTGTCGATGAGGATCAAGAAGGAGAGCACTGGCTCGGCATGGCACTAGGGTCATTAGGGCCATTAGGGTCCAAGACAGGCATCTCATAATTTAATGTTCAGTGGCGTTGGGACGGTTTGGGCATGGACTTTGGGGGCATTGTGGGATGGCTCGGTATTTCGATTCTCTCTGAAGTGTCTTTGGAAGTGGTTAAATTGTGGTCCCGGTGGCTTGGGCCTGCACTGATGTTCTGGATTTTTGTTGAATTCGCTAGGCCTACTACTGGTTTATGCACCAGGCCCAAGTGCCCTGCTGGCACAGAAATTCCACAGCACCTGCAGGAAATCGACTACTCTTGGTTTTTCTATCGTCAGTGGCATGAATTGTCGGACATGTCCACGTTTGCGGCCGCGATGAAGGGGACCTCGTACAGTTGTGCCAAAACCTTACGGAATGCCGACGAAACTGGAATAGTCGTAGTTAGTTGTGGGTAGTTAGTCGAAGGTGGTAGGAAGCAAAAGTAGGTACCAGGTAGTGGGCAGTGGGTAGCTAGGTAGGTAGGTAGACAAGCGGGGCAGGTAGGCACGTCGATGGATATTTGTGTTGTATTGGGCTGTGTGTAGTATGTAGCAACTTAGTATGAGTAAGTAGTAACGAGTAGGTAGTCTGCCTTAGGGTAGCAGGTAGTAAGTCGGCCGTGGATAGTCTGTTGTAGGAAGTAGGCTGGGGGAGTGGGGAGTGGGCAGTAGTAGTGGTCGTCGTCGCAGCAGTCCTAGTATAGCAGTAGAACTAGCACTAGCAGCAGTAGTAGTAGTCGTCGTCGTCGTCGTAGCAGTAGCAGCGGTAGTGGTACAGTTAGCAGTAGTGGTAGTAGTAGCAGTAGTCTTGGGAGTAGCAGTCGTCGCCGTCGTCGTAGTAGGAGTCGTCGTCGTAGTTGCTGCTGTCGTCCCCGAGGTGCTTCGCCAGGAACTTGTTGAAAGCTGCCTCAATAAAGGCCTGTTGTTGGAATCAAATACGGGGTCGTGCCAAGCCACGGTGTTTCTGGGGAGTGTCAACTGGCCCCAAGCCCGGACCAATGAAGCCTTGCACCCATCCCGGAGGAGTTCGAGGGTGACGATCAGGCACTTGGCTACGGTGCGTTTAACATAATCTTCTCCAAGAGGATGGAGGACACAGGACTATCCTTTCTTTATCGAAGCTGTCACCATCAGGAAACTTTTCGTTCACTTCCAGCAAGCCATGTTGGAACCCGATGCAGACACCGTGCGATAGATCAAGCATGTCGCGATTTGCTGATGCGCTGTATCAAGTCTCGCCACCGCATGGCATGGTGCAGGCATTCTCGTTCGGAACTCAGCAGTCGAGCGTTGTGCCTTTGAAGCTTGTCGGTGTTTCCGGGCGAAGTTGAGGAGTGGTTCGCAGCAGTATCGGTAGGTGGGTGCAGCGCAGCAGATGCTGCAGCTGCTCGATGTTGAACAGTGGTTGATCCCAAGCAAATAGAGACCCGTCTGCTTCCAAAAGTTCCAGGTCTTACTGCTACACAGAGGGCGAGTCATTCCGCCCGGCTCTGTTTCAACAGATCCTCTTCTGACAATGTGGAGGTTCGAAAAAAGGATTGCCAAAGAAAGTAAGACAGTAAGACACACAAGACCAGGAATGAACTTGGCGTTTATTAAGGTTCAGGAAGTTGTGGAAGTCGCTGGATTTTTGACCGCGTAGATGACGAAGTCGAGTTGTGTGCTTACAGGGCCAATCGACGCATCGCTCGTCTTCGAATTATTGATCATCGTGCCTGGCCATTAAACCTGCATTTCCAATGAGAGATGTTCGAGCATGCATTGCACCATGACATTACTATGCCCGTCCTGCGATCCGAAGGATTCTCGACCACACTCCTTTGGCTGTGCCTGGGCGTCTTCGCTTCAAGGACGAACACCACCGACGCCTGGATGGTCGGTGTTGAGACTTTGGGATGCATACCACCGGGGCCAAATCAAGCTTGATCTTGTAGGTCCTCATTCAGGGCAACTGAGAGAGTGCTCATGGAAAGGGCTGTTGAACAGAACATGACTGGACGGAAAGAGTTGTTTCTGTCAGAGATCTAGGACGAACCGACTTTGCTCAAGAGGAATGATCGACAGACCAAGGACCTTCTTCTACCAGCTTCCGGATCAGGGTGTTAGCCAACCTTTGAAGTCTTCATAAACAGCCTACACAAACTTGATTGTTGCTTGTTCGCATGTTATGCTGCTGATCTCAGGACAGATCGAAGCCCGGTGCTGAGTATCGATTTGGACGTGCCCCTCGTCCTGCAGTGGCAAAAAACTGCCTTGAAATTTTAGCTGAGGACACGCTGGCCTTGTTCATCCCTCTTTCGATGACCCAAGACATGAAGTGCAAGGACCAAGCTTCGAGGTTCTATGCGATGACTCAGGAACAGGGCTAGAGAGCTCGGAGTCATAGTAGTTGCGTTGCACAAAAGCTGTTCCCAATTGCTGGCTTGCTATTTCAGAGCTTTCCCCCAGCCAGCAGGTTGCCAAGAACAGAGAATGGGGAGATAAGCATGCACGATGCTTAGACAGAGACAATCTGTGCCTGTACATGCCTTCGCTCCAACACACGCAGTGAAGGACCTCTTCGATCCCAACAAGGCCTTGAGTCAAGCCACTGTGAAGCTGAGAACCAAGCCCCCGAAGTCTTAACAGTGCCAAGGTGTCTGCAAAGTCGCGTATGGTCAGCATGAAAAACAGTTGGAGAGTGGGCACGAGCAGACTGGCAGGTCATCGGCCTGGTCTATTCAACGAGCTTTGGAGTCCAAGACGACGGCGAGGACAGAAGTCTTCGAGCGAAGCCGACGACAAGCTCTCAAGTTCCGGAGTGCTCGATGTCTCACATGTAAGAAGCAGGGCCAGGCCCTTCAGGTTTCCGTGAGCCTATTCAGTTTAGGCACGTCCTGATAGGGACGTCCTAGGCGCAGGCTGCAGACATTTAGGTGAGAAAGGCGGAGCAATCATCGTCGGCATGTACAGCCGGCAAGTGTATTTGCCCACGTTGAAGGAGAACCCGCACTGCAAGCGACCCAGTGCCGTCAGGCACGAGCTTCGGGTCGAGGTACTGGTCGAGGGGTCATGCAGGAGATACCGTACTTTCGGAACAGATATATGTATAGTATAGTAGGTATGCATGTATATATGCAAGTATGTATGTTTGCATGTCCTAGAGTACATATATACAATTTCACATATGTGTATATATATATATACATGGTTCATCATCAACTATGCATTTACATATGCATATACATATACATATACATATACCTCACATCGACGCAGCCGAAGGGATGTGGCTAAATCCAAAGTTTGGACCTAGGAAGTGCAGGGTCTTCCTCACGGGTATCGGATGAGGCCATCCCTACACAGTTAACAACCCAGCCGGTCGCAAGCCCCCCTGGCCCCCCCCCCCCCCCTCCAAAGCTAAGTCCTCCTGCGCTCTGCTTGTGTCGCAGCCGATCCCCTTGGCGCCTGGCTTTCCTGCGGCTGTGTCGTCTGTCAACCTCACTGCCCTCAGCCGTGCCCGTCTGCTGACTGTGCTTCAGCATGCTGATGATGTTGGTGCTCACATCATCTGCTTGCAAGCGACCCGCCATGGCTCTCCTTTCACGTGGGCGTCTCGCCTCGCTTTGTCAGGCGGTTGGCGTCGCGACTGGAGCCCCCCTGTTCCCCGCCACTCGTCAAGGTGGCTGCGACATTCTCTGGCGTAACTTTGGGCGGTCTTCTCCACTCTGTTTTCACCTCCCTGCCCAGGAGGCCGACAGAGCCGTTGGGCGCGTTTTTGCTGAGCTTACCGTGGTCTCGGTGTGTCTCCCCGTCGAATCTGCCCTTTGGTGATGGCCTTACTGCCACTTTGGTGTTGCTACACAGGAGAGCGCTGTAAAGGCTCCACCGTTTCTTCGCCCCTTTGCGTGGCCCTTGTCGCCTGCACCGAGCGGCTAGTCTACGACAGCACCAGTTTTCTGAAGGAAACGGGTGGGGGGGATTTGGCATCCGTTGAACAAGTAGCTTTAAGTACATACCAACCAACCCTATTGGGTTCAATAAGCCTAGTGAACTCGATAGGCCTCCGGAACTGAAGGTTGATGATCTCACGGAAAACTTTTGCAAGGCATCTTCTATCTATTTCTATCTCCAACCCCACAGCCCTATTGAATTCAATGGCCTGTTGAACGCAATAGGTCTCCCGGATTGTGCGAAGAGTACACCCAAGACCATCGACTGTACACATAGACACACACAGAGTAATCTTTCAGCGAGGGGGATAGTGTCAGGGGCATAATACATCATAATACACAGGAGTTGCACCACCACGGGTAGATAACCCGGGGGTAATATGTGTGTATATATACATATATATCTGTGTGTATATATATATATATATAGAGAGAGAGAGAGAGAGAGAGAGAGGGTGACGCTTTCTGGAGTGTGCGTCGGCGTGAGGGCCCGCTTTTCTCGAGTAAACGAGCGTTTTTTTCAGGTTTTTAGTATATTTTAATTGATTTTCATATCAGTACGAAATACATATGCACACATGCAGCGGCACTGTTATGGACACGGTCACAAAAAGAAAGTATTCATACCAGTATACTATAATGTAAATGCTATACAAGCTGCGTATTCACTTCAGGTTTCGGATGTACTTGCAATCATCTTATATTTCGGTGTCCTATCACCTCCTATTGAGGCTTGGGGTTTAGATCTCATTATGCCCACTAGAGTTTGGTAGTTTTGATGCCATAGCACGTCTAAAGGTATCACCATCGTATCCTTTCGGGTTTGGGTCTATACCATATCTCAATCAGAATTGTCAGACTCTGGGGCCGAAGAGATCTTTTCTTTTAGAACTTGTTTTGGTCGGAGAGGGGGGATTGCATATGGAGCGCCTTTAATCCTATATTATAGTTGAGAAAAGGAAGCCTGTAAACTTGTTCACCAAGTTCTGCTTTGAGGTTAGGATAAAAGACTTCCAATTGGGTTTTGATTTTGTTTTTTAGGCTATTTTGTGAAGGGCAAATGAATATCATTGAAGATTTGCCGCCCAACATCTCCTGGGAACATTGGGTTCTCAACCATCTTTCTCTGCAGGGATTTGCGGCTTTCCATGACCCAGCAGCAACGTCTATGGATGCAGGTTTCTCAACCGTCATATCTCCATTCATAGTTGGCGGATGTATGATATGATGCCTCTTATCTTCTTTGGAGGTTTCGGGTTTTACAATCCAACCTATAGAAGAGAGGTTTGGATTATGGGAACCTAATCACCGTCTTGGAGCTAGGCCGCATTCAAGATTTATTGAAGTTTAATGGATGTATTCTTATTTATTAGTCTTTTTTGGCTGGAAACCTTAGCTGCAGCGTGTATCATATCTCACCAGAATCTATCATAGGCTATCAAATCATCTTGTTGGGAGTTGAACATCAATCATTTGTCATCATAGTGTCGGGATGGTCTGGAACCGGTTGCACCTGTTCGTGATTATGAACTGAAGCCTGTTATGCTCTTTGGGAATTTTGGTTTGTTGCTCAACCTACATAATTTTGAGTCTTTCAGAAGCCAATCATGGTTTTTTTTTGCCGGGTTGGTGTTCATCATCTCTTTCACAGGTACTGAGTCCGACATCTGATACAAACTATAAGGATTTGGGCTTCTCGCGACATAAATCCCTACTTCCTACTTCTAGGAATACCAAATTTAAATTGTGTATTATTTTCTGTATCACTTTCTCGGATTAGGGCTCGGCGTTCTTAGGAACCCGTCTTCCGCATTTCCAGAAACCGAATCATCCACAGCCTCAGGGATGAAGGTATTCTTCTTGGCGATGCCTTGTTAGAGCAGGATTTATGGGTACAGGCTTATACCTCAGAGTTTCCCTCAGAGTTTCGGACACCCATCACCCATCATCTTCCTTTCTGAGCAGTGGATTGTATATCTCATGCGAATGGATGGGTCTGTCATCTATCATTCATGTAGTGGTAGGGTATGTGCATTATTGGAATGCCCGTCATCAGTATTTGGAAATAAACAACCTGATTGCTTCTCCTGAAAACCATGATCAATACGCTCTAAATACGAGTGTTTCCATCGAAACACACGACCCGTGCAAGGGGCAAAGGGGGACCCTTTGCAAATATTTCAACCTCATGCCCCACATGAACCTGTATGTTTCTGCACATGTCTATCTGGGGACTTATGTGTCAATACAGTATTGCGCGAATGTAATGAAAATAGCAGTCCCATGGTATAGCTATGCTTTCGGGAGTGGCAGAATCATCTTTCAGTCAGGGATGCCCATCCTTTCCTTTTTGACGGATTGGGTCGTCTTCTCCACGCTATATTTAGTATTAGAGATTGCGCGAGTGCTTGTCATCAGGTCTGAGAATCAATATTATCTATTCTGAGGATCCCCTTCACTAAACACACACAAAGAAACGAATGTTCCGCTTGAACACGCCAATGCTGCAAGACATGAAAACACTCCATCCCCAATGTATTTGGTAGTTAGCATGTAAGTATTTCTGCGCGCTGACCTTATCATAGCCTATGGTTTGATTTGTGAATGCAAAATACTCTCACGAAGATATACATATACTTTCGAGCCATCATCCACCAATTTTACATATGTATCAGAATCAATGCCTATGACTGCATCTGAACATACAGGCCTGGAGTTCATAGAAATGATTTAAGCAGGTATGCACATATGTCATCCATCTATGCATACATATATGTATGTATATATGTATGTATGTACATATGTATATATGTATATATGTATGTATATATATATATATATGTGTATATATATATACATATATATATATATGTATGTATGTATGTATGTATGTGTGTATGTATGTTTGTATGTATGTATGTATGTATGTATGTATGTATGTATGTAGGTACACCGTTTTTCTGTGGATGCATATGCACATGTGAAAATAAATGTGCATGTATATGTATGTATCTATGTATGTATGTATTTGTGTATCGATGTATGTATGTTTGTATATATATCTATGTATGTATTTATGCATATGTATATATATATATATACATATGTTTGTGGGATGCCACATCATACCATATATACACATGGAGACACAAGCATTGTGATGTGATACATTCATATATATATATATATACACACATATGCATATATACATAGGTTGGGTATGTGAGGGGATATACGAATGTCATATGATATGTAGAAGGACAACCTTGATAAGTTTGCTAGGTTTGCGAATTGCGAATGACCGAAACCTAAAAGATTCGTGCGCTTTAAATTTTCGGAAACGCACAAGCCCTTCCGGGCTGGGTCCAAGCTTAAGGGCTCCGGCTCCCTGGCCTGCAGCGGTGGGGAGGGGGGAAGGCAGCGAGGCCAAAAAAAAATAAATAAATAAAAATGTATATGTTTTTTTTTTTTTTGTTTTGGCCTCGCCCCCTCCCCCTTCCCAAAAGCCTTAGGCAAGAGCACAATGGGTGGAAGGCAGGCCTTTCTTCCCGTATAAGCTCCACGTTCTTTCTTTATCAGACGCCGTTCGGGGCCGTTCTTTTACATTGTGATAATGTTTTAAGACAGCACTTAAAATTCGGTTCTTTACAAATACGACAGAACCGGGCAAGGAGGGTGACGCTTTCTATATATATATATATATATATGTGTGTGTGTGTGTATACCTGTATACATATGTATATATACAAATATGTATGTATATATATATATATATACATAGACATAGGCATGATTGATATTTATACTTATATATATATATACATACCTACAGATAGATGGAGGGATGGAGGGTAGGTGTATATATATATATATGATATACGTACCGCCTGCACAGACACTTGATCTTTGTTCTTCCGTCTATATGCTCGCGGCGCACCTGTGTTTGCACTTGATGTCTAGCGCTGTTTCCCTTCCTTGCAAAGTTACAATCAATGGAGAACTCTGCCGGGACGGATTCCGCGCCAAGCTTACCCATCCTCCGGACCCGGATTTAAAGCCTCACGTGGATATGTTCGAGGAACTATACTCCGGAGCCGAGATACGTATGCTTTCAATTCCAAGTTGAGGCTCACGGCTTTCGCATTCGTTAATCCGCCGTAAACGCAAGCAGGGCTTCATGCTACAACGACGGCTGAATAGAAGGTCGATGGCCGAATCGCTGCCCCTACCGGCGGGCGATGAATCCACCATGTGAGCCCTGGTGTTGACTTAGCTTGTTAACTTGTCTGGGCACCAAGCCTCTGCCACTGGCTCTTTGTTTCGAGGTCCTTATCCTTCAATGTCACGTCATGCCCGGGCACTCTAAAACCCAGACGCCCCCAGCCCTCATCCCCATCCTGACTGCGCAGCCCAGGTCGGATTTTCTCACTGCAACTCCCTGAGACTTGGAAGCCGTGAGAAATCTTTCTAAGCCAGCGCAGGAATAAGGAGATAGACTCCAAGCACTCAACAGCCCATTACTGCTCACTGGTCCCTTCAGTCACTCTCTAAACCATCTGGAGCTCCAACCACCAAACCCATCCCAGGACTCGCCCCTTGCTGCCCAGATCAATCTGGCATCCTGGAAGCGGCACATGCCTCCATGCGCCTTTGCCCGCTAAAACTGTCTGCTGATGGTTGAAATCCAACCACCCGTTGTAAGTCTTCCGGGATCAGGCCGCTTCTCCAGGTTATTCGGAGATGTGAACGGCTCCAGTTACAACACTTCATGGGGGGGTGTCAAGGGCAATCGCCCGAGTCATGTTAAAAGCATGGCTAGCAGTCATTATGGTAGCTGCCCTGCGGACTAGCGGGACTGGTGACGGCTGCAGGTTCACCTTTCTGGCATTCTAGCGCCTTACAGAGAGCCAAGTCGAAACGGCCGGACAAGATTGTGAAGTATGCATACTGTCCGTAATGAAATCAATTTAGTGTGCTCGTTGTTGCGTAGGTGCAAAGACCGTTCTCATCAGTGCGGCTCGGCTTCACGGCAGTCCTCTGACGATCCTGAAATTTGGAGCTTGTCGCAGGTACGAGAAGACAGGTTCAGGTGGGCTTCAGAAGGAGAGCCCGAATGGTATGAGTTCAATTTTGTTCTGGTTTGCAAGTACATTGTACGTATGATTGACTACGGACAGAACTCTGCAGTAGCTTAGAATGTCGGATCCCCCAAGCAAACCGAAGCTCTCCACACTGCCACACGCCCATGCCTGCTCTTTCAGATTCGGGAATCTAAGCCCGACATCTGCAAATCTTCTCTTCTTGAAGCCTTCAAGACCCGAACTGCTGTCGACGAGCTGCCTGCCTTCATCCCATGTCCAAACCTGAGGACGAGAATGCCGGGGGCCTACGTCTTGACGGCGATGAGAGACTGAGAGTGAGTTTGTGTGGATGTGTGTTTTCGTCTGTGGGAAGGGGCTTCGAAGGGTGAGACTAAAGGCTTCGAAGGCTTTGAAGGGTAGGGATGAAGGGAGGTGAAGGAGGGGAACCGGAGGGCTCCCTCCACGCTCCCACCACAACCAACAATTCCTACAACTACTACTACTATTATTATTACTGGTACTAGTACCGCGGAAACGCTTTAGGTGCTTAAAAAGTGAGAAAAAAACAATCCTGAAGAAACGTGTTGTGAAGAGGAAAAGCCAGACATATTGGGGGACTTTAGCAAAAAAACACCTTATGTTGGAAAGGTTTGCAAATTGGATATGCACGCACTCATCTGCATTCGTGTGAGAGGGAGATATGCGTGTATGTATGAGTGTATGTATGTATGTGTGCGTACGCATGTATGTATGTGTGTGTGATTGTGTGGTTGTGTGGGTGCGCATGTGTTTGTATGTATGTATGCATGCATATGTGAATGCTTGCGCACGTCTACAAATGTGCGTGGTTTTATGCATGTAGCGATGCATGCAAGTGAAGACGGGGCAAATTGGTTCGTATACTGCATGCGCATATGTATACATGTACACATGTACGCATACATAAGGTAGGTACCCTTTTTCCTTGTAGCATCTCAGGTGAGACAGTGGCTACCAGACCTTCCCGAAGACTACTTCCACTTGCCCGGCCCCGAGGAGAAGCTGGATTTCCTTAGGCCGGTCCCTGAAGCCGCGGAGTACCAGTAGAACTGCAGCCGCGACCACCCATTTTCGCTGCTTTCGCTACCGCTGCCTCTCGTAGCACGACGACTATTGCTACGACTGCACGTGCTACTGTGGCTGCTATAATCGTGGTACGAATACTGTTTCCAACGTGAATCCTGCTACTGCTGTTGCTGCTACTACTACCACTACTGCCGCCGCATCTACTACTTCTACGACAAGGACGACTCCGACCAGCACTGCTACTACCACCTCCTACCTACCACTACCTAATGCCTGGTGTTGTCCTACCCCCTTACCTGCTGCTATCTACGGCCGGCTGCTACGACCACGACGACGACTAAAATTACTGCCATTACAGTACTTACTACCTGCAGTATTTTGTCTTATACTCGGTATCGACTTGATACTTACTGCTTACTGTTTATTGTGCTTGCTACTTACTCACTACTCACTACTTACTACTTACACTACTTACCTCTTACTAGCTGGCTACTACCTACGCTGTCTGGAGTCCTGTAAAGCATAGGGTCTTGCCAGCAAGAGCCTAAGTGCTAAGACTAGCCGCACACGCCAAACCAGCCAAGCTGCGAAAGACTAAACAGTTCCTCGCAAGACCGGAAACATAATTTCGCTTGGCGACGGTGAAAAAATAAAACAGCCCAAGTAATTCCCACGAAATAGCAGCAGACCGAGCAAAGCTAAGCTGCGGGATGTTTAGTTTCCGGTGTCACGCAACCTCGACGGCAGTGACTGATCATGAAAAGTACAGTATTGCTTTCAATGAGAAAGTTCTTGGCTATTGAAGCAGCACTCTAGCAGGCAAGAAGCATGCCAGTAAGGGCTCGCTCTTAAATCCCTTCCCGTGAACCGCTAAATCCCAATCACAAACCGAGGCCGTCAATCCCCAAAATGGTTAAAGCCCCAGAAATCCCCAAAACATTGGATGTTCCCGGAAAGCTTCAATCCGACGATTGGGCTGCTGGCGTAACTTCAGGATTCCCGATCAACAGCCCATCAACGGATCTTGTACAGATGTGCCGTGATAGGCATGGGCTGATCTTCCACCACGGCGGCATCGTCATGCGCAGGGTTACCGGGCCGTGCAGAATTGGGCAAAGGGTGTGGTTCGGGCTTCTGCAGAGCTACAGATACGGGGCACAGGAACAAGCATACAGAAAGCTTAATTCACAGTATGCGAACAACTCGACAAGCTGCCCACGAATGCTCTTATCACTGTTGTCCCTCTTGTGCGTACACTTTGGCTTGACCCATGGAAGAGCTGGTCATTCAACCTTTGACCTTAACCTTGCCACGGACACTATTGACTGTCTGGCGGCTAACCTCCCAGAACGTATTCGAATCTTCTGCCCTGCCAGCTCTCCTCTAGAGTGGCCTATTTTACGGCCCGAAAGTAGCTGCGCCCATAGCAAAGCAAGCATGCACGATGAAAAGCCAATCCTAAACTCACCCAGCAATAGGCCCTGCGTAAGCTGCATCGAATTCATCGAAGGATGTAATTGCTGCCGAGAGCCTGGAAGCGACCATGACTCTGGCATCTTTGGTGGATCTACTGTCGCTTCCCGACTGCACTACTAGGATTTAATGCCACCACCATGATCAGCTGCATGACAGTCATCCCCATTACCATCTTCAAAATCGTCCTCATCGTCATTAGCAGCAGCATCGCTGTCACGCTTAGGCATCCATCTCGCAGCCACTCATTTGTTGTTTATCCGACACACAGAAAAGAAAGCCAATCTGGTAATACACTGCTTTGTCCGACCTGGTTGGGTAGGACGATCATGTAATTATCAGAGTCACTACTAGCACTGCGACTGTCAGTAGCATGGATCATTGCAGGTACTGTGCTAGTGGTTGTTGTTGTTGGTGTGGTTGCGGATGCGGTTGCCTTTGTTGTTGTTGGTGGTGGTGCTGGTGCTGGTGCTGGTGCTGGTGCTGGTGCTGGTGCTGGTGCTGGTGCTGGTGCTGGTGTTGGTTGTTGTGGTTGTGGTTGCGGTTGCGGTTGCGGTTGCGGTTGTGGTTGTTGTTGCGGTTGTCGTTGTCGTGGTTGTTGTGGTTGTGGTGGTTGTTGTTGCTGGTGGTGGTTGTTGTTGTTGGTGGTGGTGGTGATGGTCGTCGTCGTCGTTGCTGTTGTTGTCGTCGTTGTTGTCGTTGATGTTAGTGGCGGCAGCAGTGGCGGTTGTGGTGGTGGTGGTGGTGGTGGTGGTGGTGGTGGTGGTGGTGGTGGTGGTGGTGGTGGTGGTGGTGGTGGTGGTGGTGGTGGTGGTGGTGGTGGTGGTGGGGTGTGGTGGTGGTGGTGGTGGGGTTGGGGTGGTGGTGGGTGCTGGTGCTGGTGCTGGTGCTGGTGCTGGTGCTGGTGCTGGTGCTGGTGCTGGTGTTGGTTGTTGTGGTTGTGGTTGCGGTTGCGGTTGCGGTTGCGGTTGTGGTTGTTGTTGCGGTTGTCGTTGTCGTGGTTGTTGTGGTTGTGGTGGTTGTTGTTGCTGGTGGTGGTTGTTGTTGTTGGTGGTGGTGGTGATGGTCGTCGTCGTCGTTGCTGTTGTTGTCGTCGTTGTTGTCGTTGATGTTAGTGGCGGTAGTAGTGGCGGTTGTGGTGGTGGTGGTGGTGGTGGTGGTGGTGGTGGTGGTGGTGGTGGTGGTGGTGGTGGTGGTGGTGGTGGTGGTGGTGGTGGTGGTGGTGGTGGTGGTGGTGGTGGTGGTGGTGGTGGTGGTGGTGGTGGTGGTGGTGGTGGTGGTGGTGGTGGTGGTGGTGGTGGTGGTGGTGGTGGTGGTGGTGGTGGTGGTGGTGGTGGTGGTGGTGGTGGTGGTGGTGGTGGTGGTGGTGGTGGTGGTGGTGGTGGTGGTGGTGGTGGTGGTGGTGGTGGTGGTGGTGTCGGTCTCGTTGTCGTTGTCGTATTGTTGCTGCTGCGCTGCTGGTATTGGTGTTGTTGTTGGGGGTGGCGATGGCGCCGGCTGTGGTGTCGTTGTCGCCGTCGCTGCCTTGGCTGGTCGTTGTCGCGGTCGGGTTGGAGCAGTCCGATCGCAGACTTTACGGTTACTTCCGGCTTCGGTAAGCGACGGATGGGTTGCTTGTTAGGTCCTGATTAAACGTGCGCCCCTCCAAGAAACCACCAAAGGTCGGCCGAAGAGAACACCGGCGATGAGGTAACCTGCGGCGGCCCCAGCATGACTGGCAAGTTCGCACATACGACGAAGGGTGATGGCAAGAGAAGTCAGAGCAGCCGCGAGACCAGTACCAGCCATGCTGGAAAGGATGAACTATCCATGATGAGACCCAGGATTGCGGGTGGTTTTTGTCCCTGTCTTGTGTCTAACGACGAGGCAGTGGCTCGTTCCAAGCATCCCTACTACTGGGTGGGAAGAAGGCACTGGCCTGCACGGAACTTGTTAAAGCGTTCACAGGGGTTTGCTGGCCAGTTGGGAGAATTGAACTTTGGCTGCCCACGGCGGGCAGCCTCATTTCCAATCGGAGTTTTGTGGTGTGAGTCAAGCTGGGCAGTCGCAGATGCACAAACATGTGCATTCCTGGCCGTGTTTGTTTGGGAGCCCCTTGTTAGCGTGAGAGTGTGAGACACTGAACCCCAGCTCCGAAGTGGAAGAGACTCTGGGAGCTCCATTTGTTAAAGGACCGATGCTCTAATTAACGCCTTGACCCACAACCCTGAGGCTCCAAACCGAAAGCTAAAAACGCCTACCCGGCAGGGCAGCACCTACCACGGAGTAGCGTGGACGCTCGCTAAGAGAGCCATATCGAAGCACTGCCCTCCAGAAGATCGCAGCAAGGACCTTCCGGCACGTTCAGGGACTGAAGAGCATCTTTTTTTGCCGTAACGCTGAATCCAAATCTTGGGGACGAAGACCCAATCGTGAAAATGTATGAGGCTCAACGGTTCAGATTGCGTGTTCTTTAGAATCAGGAACTCCCCCAAGACCTTAGATGAGAAGACCTGAAGATTCATCGAGAGCCCCACTTTCGAAGGGTTTCACGGGCTTTCTCGAGAGCTCCCTCACTAGCTTATGGTTTGGGTTGTTGGGTCTACGGAGGTGTTGAGTTTCGATACCATGGCTTGGTGTGTGTTCTGGGGCTTCAGTACGGCACACCAAAAGCTTTAGAGCTCAAACCCTGCACGAGGTATTTGTTATTAACGTATATACTTGGAACCCTTTGCGGGGAGTAGTTTAAAGTCTGATGTGCATGGATGGCCCCATCGGGCGGCCAGGAGATCATTTGCTGCTTCGAGGGCGATTCGCAGCTTTGTGCGGTTAGGCGTTTTGAGAGCATGATCGAACAGTTCAGGTTTCTGAGCAGTTCCCCAACTTGAACATCAACAGATAGACTTCCTCGCGTGTTTGCATTCAACGCCGTTGTTGCGGACACCTGCGGAACACATCGCTCCTCAACGCATATTCTGCCGGATGTGTTCACCGATGTTTTAAGGCAAGGACCGCATGGCTAAGTCCTCGACACATTCACCAGACATGAATTCAAGGTCACAGTTTGGAGCTTGCCGGTCAACGGATAGGCTTGGTATTGCAGTGGGAAGTCGCAATCGTCGATATCAACCTGTGACATTAGAACGCGCTTCTTGGCCAACCGTGTTCCTTGAGGTCTTCCAGGCTCACAAATCTAAGACTCTCTGTTCTAGCATGTTCCTGATGCGATCCCTGTCGGCACCATCATTCCACCCTATCGTTGATGGGTCGCCAGCATTTCCTCTTGAGAGTATGATTGATCTTCCTAGTAAAGTCATATTTATCATGTTGCCATTACGGGTATCAAAAACCGTTGCGACTGTGATTGCATCTATTTTTTTGGTGTCATTACCCTCGGTGGGACATCCAGCGTTTCCACGGCAGGGCAGATTTGGGCATGTGCAGGCTCTTCATGGTGCCTTTGTGCCCCAAACCTCTGTTCCGTCTCTTTTCTCAAACTACCCTACGTTCTGCGACCGACTCTCAACGCCCTGCAGCCGGACCTGAAACCCCACCGACTCAGCTCCTGAATAACATGTTAGCCTTAAATTCGGATCCCAAGGCAGTGCCACATTCCAGGTGGCAGCCTTGGCGACGGACTCTCGGCAGCCGATGAGCTACCGCAAGCGATTGTTCTTTCAGATCTGCTGCCTTCTTTTCTACGGGCCACCGTGCGGAGCCATGAAACTAGATTAGCAATGCGACGGCTGAGGCCACTCGAGCAAGGTGAAGCGGATGTTTGAGGTGCAGCTATCTGCCGATGCGAGTGTCGCGTGAAGTTGCAGCGTCCGTTCAGCGTCAAAGAGAGTGCGTCCGATGACGTAGATCAGCCCAACTTCCTGCGGTTCAAACCTGTCACCCTTTAACAAGTCACTTGCAGTGCCTCTGTTCAGGCCGCGGATTTGCCGCTGGACTCACGCTGCCTTGCTCGGCAAGAGTCTATTCGCCCAGCATCCTGGCCATTTCAGCCTCGCCATTTTCGCGCAGGGGACGAGGGAAAGCTTCCTAAACCATCAACATTGCTTCTAAACCCATCCTGCTCCGGGAGTTGACCGTTTTGCGTTGGTTGCAGGCCTTGGTGAAACTGGAAGCCCGATCCCACACGATCTATATTGAGAGTTCATCACAGATTCCTGTCGAGGCATACTTCCAGTTTGTCTTGGACCACAAGAAACAGCTGCCTGTCTCTGCAGAATCAAACCCCTAGGACCGCTAAAAGGCTCCACTTGATTAGGGTCTCTGATGCCGTGCTGGAGTCGGCACGAGCATGGGTTTCGCTTGCTACGCCGACAGTGAGTGGAGTAGCTGGAGCAGCGATGTTCTGCTGCACTCTGTGTTTCTGCCATTTCTGTGACACTTCGCAGAATTGTGTGACAAGTGATGACGGTGCAGACATGAGGCTTGCAGATGCCAACGAGTTCTTCAAGTCGGAGCGACACATGCAGTTGCTGAACAGGCTGGACAATCATACGGAATCATACGTGCTGCCTCGATCCTGCTCTGCAGTTCGCAAAAATGGAGTGTAGGAGCCCCGAAGAGTCAGAGTTCTACTCGTCTACGTGTGACTATCACCGCCCCTGTGCAAACCCGCGTTGCTCCGCAAACCCGGCCTATGAACTACAATCCTGACGAGCTGGCCCGTCTTGGTTTCTAGCAACCAGCAAAACGTTCGGGCACCAAGAGCCCAGATTGTGGAGTGTGGCTGAGGCTTTCCGGCTCATAGTTGTTTTTTGGAGCATCGGATTGGGTTTTCCGTATCGATGGTGGAATTTCATTCCTGATTTGACTCTAAGGCTTCTCCTTTCTAAAGTTTTCGCATGGGTTGTGTTGTCGTGGAAAATGGAAACGTGTTCTGTGCTACCTGTACAGCCTATACCTGACTTGTGTGTGGCAAGAGGGACGTACTTCTGCTCAGTAGTAAGCAGGCATCCTCATCATCGGCGATGTTTCACAAAGGCTCAACCCGTCCTGACAGGACCGCCTTCTACATCCCTCTTGCAGAAGTCAGGGATCGAGCCTGCCCCAAGTTCTTCGAGACCAAAACGGTCACTCGGTTTCGGCCACGTGAGCCCTACAACGCTTCGAGCTGGGCGCTGAAGTGCTTCTAGAGCTATGTAGAGCTACTGAGCGTGGGACCGCACCAGTTTTTTTGCATCGCATCTTGCGAGGGCTGTTTTCTTGAACTGAGGTTGTCGGGGCCGTGGCTTTTCAGCAATAGCACTGCGTGAGAATCATCGCCTTGGCAGCGAGCTACGTCCTGCCCACATGTCATCTTCACATGCCCAGGTCTACTCCAAGAGCTTCGGTCACTCCGACGATGACTTCTGCCCATTCTAACCTGACCCGGGCGCCACGGCAATTTCCTTTCTTACTGAGCCTGGATTGGAGACGCCCGAACTTCTTGAGCATCTCGGATTGGCAGATCGCTCGCCTCTCTTGCAAGGGAGGCGGGCGCGGCACGCTTTCGCGGTCGTCCCTGAGCTTGGTGCCTGGAATCGAAGACCCTCTTCTGGACCAGCTTGTGAATCGTCTCGGTCGCAATCGGAGGCCGGACCAGAAGATTCGAGGATTGCGGCGCTTTTTCAGTCACGGCTGCGGCTCTCCCGCTTCATGGCCAATGGAGCTTGAACTTCGCGGGCGTTACCTCAGCGATGCTGTCGACTGTGGAACCGTGAAGGTTCTTGCGGGGAACATTCTTATCCAGACAGTGTACATTCCAATGATCGTGCAGGATCTGCATGGCTGCCAACGCCGCAACTTCCAACCTGGAGCTCCGCGAATTCCAGAAGACTCGCCCAAAGCGCCAACACTTGTTGCTCGCCATTGGAGCCGTCAACGCTAAGTTCCATTGCCATAGCCTCGAGCCCTGAAGCCTCGGTCTTCTGCAGCCTGTGCAGCCCTGGATGCCTCAACTCTTAGATCATGCCAAAGCAAAGACGCCCAACAGCCTGCACTCCCGCAGCCCGAATATCTCCAGCCGAAAATAAAGCCTGAAACATCGGTAAACCCCCTAAGCACCCTTTCCTGAGCAGCGGCCCTTGCATTTCACCTTGGATGGAAGCCAGAGAGGCCGCCGAAGACCAAAAAGAAGCGCAAGAAGCAGTGAACACTGCCAACAGTGACAACAAGACACAAAACTCATTGAGCAACCGTAGCGATTATCCGAGAGAAATCAAGTGCGACGATGGCACTGCCCTGCTAGTGTCTCAATTATTTCTAGTTTCGCATCAGGCTGCATAGACATGTATAGCAATCGCGGAATCCGGGAACATGGCTGGGTGCAAAAGTAACGATGCTAATTTTGCTGCGAGCCGCTAGGCACTGTTTGCAGATGCTCCTCGGAGCATCACCTGGACCTCCGACTGTCCCTCCAACCAACTTGTCGCAGCTGCAACTGCAGCTGCAAACTATCTCAGGGAAGTTTGACAATGAAGTGAGACTAAATAGGTTCCCTCTGGAAAATACTCGATCACCTTTGACTTTGGATTATCCAAACAGCCTTGCACCCAAACTGAAGGTACAAAAGCGTTTGAAGGAAGACTTGGCCATCCAGCACCGCGACTCCCTCTATGAGGTGTTGCTTGGGGGTGGGGTCGGGTGGGGTTGTGGGTTTCAGGAGATGGCACTAAAAGGCCCTGTTGTTGCTTGGGCGGGGGTAGGCAAAGCAGGGCTAATGCACCTCGAGCATACGGATCTCGTTATCGGGAGGAAGGTGCTGCAGGATTACGCAGATAAAGATTCAATACGCAGGTCTAGCCTTTCGTGGCGATGTGCTTACACGAGTTGCTTCGGGAAAACTGCGCGCTCCCTAATTCTAATCCCTAAACCTGAAACTTTGACCCTTGGGAGCCTCGGGAGCTTCGCCATTTGTCGCTCTGGGCTCTTACGTCACCCGATGTGAAAGCATTCCGTTGGTGAGCCTGCCTGCTGCCATGTGGTCCCGACTGCAGGGCCGGGAGCCTTACGTCCGTTATGTGCCTAGGGCCTAGGGGTTAAATTCCAATTCCAAGGATTGCTACTTGTAAGTGTGACTTCTGTATCTTTGCTGTAAGCCTCTTCGTTGCGGAGACCTGGCATCTCCACTTTGAGTAGTTTTCCCCCGTAGCTTCCTAGGATCAACAGAGCAGCCGACCAAGTCCGTGGTTGGATGCGGGTGAGTGCTTTGCACGAACATGTGAACATGTTTGAAGAAGGCTGTATACGTTAATCAAAGCAACGACCACCGACTAACAAGTAAGTGCAAGTACATCCAGAAACAGAGGAGTTCTGTTCCGGATCTAGCCCGCGATCGGTTTCAGAACAGCTGCGGCAGTTTCGCTTCCAGGGGGAATAGGGTGAAGTTTACAGGCCGCAGGGCCGGGTGGATCAACAGGCAAGAAGAAGCGATGCGAGAAACGTTGATGGGACCCACCGCCCCCGACTCGACACTTCCCGAATTCCGCCTGGCCGTTCAGAAGTCGCTGATGCGCTGATGCGAGACTAGAGTTCGAAGCTCGGTTGCTCTCCTTCTGAGGCGCCTTGCGCCCTCCGGCACTGGTAGCTGCCGCCGCGGTACTACCAGGGCTTTTGCCCGACGGCAGCAGCTCAGGCTCGGAGGTCTTCCACAGGACACTTTGTTCGTAGAGTTTGAGAGCTGGGTGGACAGTGTTCAAGGGCTTGGGGTGTGAGACTGCGCAGGGGCTGCACCGGGTTGATGTTCCTTGGAACACTGGCAGGCTCCTGTCAATCTGAACATGTAAAACGGATCGCCTGTCCCTTGCTCGACGTCAGTAGAAGATGCTCTGAAACCAATCGTTCATGATCGTTCTAAGGTATCCGGTTTACGTTTAGGAAGCATTCTAGTATCTACGACCCAGCAAGGATTCGGCCCTTTCAACTTCTCAACCGGGACTCAACCCTCTCTTTGAAGCCTGAATCTTCCCACCCGAACCCTCGCCCTTGACGAGGCTCTACAGTCGACACAAACCTAGACCATGAGCGCACGCCGCCCGAATTAACAAAAAGAAACCAGGCTGACTCCCTATCGTTATCAGGCAGCTGGCATGCACGACAAAAGCGGCAGCTCGTCTCCTGCCAGACAACCAAGGCCCGCAGACCACATCTGCATTTAAGATGTGGTTCATGGTTGCGCTCGCAGTTTTGCCTAAATGAGCTGTCGAGCTGGCTGCTCTTCTTCCTCCAACCCCTAAGACTTGCAAGAGCTGGGTTATTCTCTCCGGGTGAGGCCTCAGGCTAAATTGAAACGTGGCTTGTCAACTTGTTAGACTAGCTGGAGATAATCGTCATAATGCCACTTATTGATTGCTGCCATGGTGTGCATTTGAGTATCCATCTTTTTCTGCGAACCCAAACTCGCAGACTCCGGCAAATGCTTACATAGCCAGTGCTCCAAGCCTCAAAGAGACTGCAGGCAGCGTACGTTTCTCTGCGGCACGACTAGATGACTCGCTCACGAAATAGATGGTTCAGTACCCAGAGAGAGGGAATGAGCTGTAATTTAATTTACTACGTGTGCATAGGCCAGGTATGCAGACAGGACAGGTCGCGAAGATCGGAAAACAGATGCATGCAGCTGCACTGACGATATGACCACATCCATATAATTATTTATTTATTTATTTATTTATTTATTCATTTATTTATTTATATATACACATACACATCGGTACAATCAGTAAAGAATCCACGTACATTGCACAGGCTGATTGAGTAGGCATGTATATCTCCTCTGACACCTATTAGTAATTATTGGCATATGCACATACCCCTGTACTGAATACTGAATCGGCTATGCCGCCGCCGAATAGACAAGAATGAAATAAACCGTGGTCAATGTTACTGTGAATGGTCCTAACAATCGCAGAAATAAGAGTGCCAATGCTACCACGACAACCACTGCGGCTGCTGCTGTTACTACCCCGACTATTTTACGACAAAAACTACGTTAAAATGCTGTAGGAAAGGATCCAGGTCGGCGAGGGCAGGGACCCTAAAGCTTCCCTCCCAACAGAGCTTCCCTCCCAATAAATGGCAAACTTTCCCACGGCCGTGTGGCGATGAAGCGACGACCACGCGGCGACGTGCAAAGACGATGCACACTGTCGGGGAGTAGGCTGTAGAGAACGGAGCCGGGCACACGAAGCCAAGCCAGCCACAGGCTCCTACCATTGCTGCTGCTGCTGCTGCTGCTGCTACTACTCACTCCTACTCCTACTCCTCCTGCTCCTCCTCGTCCTTCTACTCCTGCTCCTACTCCTACTCCTGCTGCTACTACTACCACTACCACAATGACTGATTACCGTTCCTGTGAACTGTTGCAGTTAATGTTAACATGGCATTTACGATTCCTTTTGCTGTGACTGTGATTGTTGCTACCACTACCTCTGATTATAAGTACTTGCAATTACCGTTACCACTCCTACTACTGCTGCTACTGCCGCTACAGTACTGCTGCTACTGCTACTACTGCTACTCGTCCCTCTGCTAGCTTTTCTGCTATTGCCACTGGCGCTGCCAGTAACACTCCTGTTGCTGCTCGACTACGACTACTACTACTGCTACTGCTGCTACTACTACTACTACTGCTGCTGTGCGTGCACAACCGCTCACGAGCGACCTAGTGTCGGAAACCGGCGATACTTTCAGTATCGGCTCCTCGCGGGAGCGCGCGATGGCCCGAAATGAAATGTGGGAATCACAGCTTCAGACTTCAATGATCCCACAATTAAGCCAATCAAATAAAACTGGAACACATGGCGATCCTCACACTCCCCATGCATGTGGCTACTCCTGCTGCTGCTCCTGCTCCTGCTGCTGGTTCTACCACTACTACATACCACTACCACTACCACTACTGCCACTACTACCACTACTACCACTACTACTACTACTACTACTACTACTACTACTACTACTACTACTACTACTACTAGTACTACTATTACGAGTGGGATGGCCTGGGGTGCACTCCGACCGAACGGAATCGTTCCCTCCTGCCGTCTCTTTCCCCCTCCGGTTTCGTCATCGGGGAGATCCGTCAAGAGTTCGACGCTCCGAGCCTTTCAATCCAAGCAGGGAAGAGTGCCACCCGAACCTCCATGGGCCCGCCCCCCAAAGCTGCCCGGCTTGTGTTGGATTTGGGCGCACACACGCACCGGCAGCAAGACCAATGGAAAGGGCACGCACAGCTAATCCTCTGCTGGCTGCGCAAACTCAAGCAGTATTCCCCAAGCGTGGGGCAGTGCCATTAAGTGAAGGCAATACCCCCGACCAGAAGGGGTTACGACTACTACTACTACTACTACTACTACTACTACTGCTACTACTACTACTACTACTACTACTCCTGCTACTACTACTACTACTACTACTACTACTACTACTGCCACTACTACCCCCGCCAATTGCAACAATGAGTGAGTGATTAGTATTATTGCAAGCATTAGTGATAGTAACTCTGTGCCGTGACAGCATCTTTCACGCCAACCGATTATGTACAAACACACATTTGCGAGCATATTCTACTCTGTCGAACTGGATCACCACAAACCCAGACACGCACCCCCCCTACATGTAAACAGATAGGTAGGTTTACGTATCAATATGGATTGTAGACAGAGATGAACGATGCAAGAGATAGAGAGAGAGAGAGAGAGAGAGAGACCTGCGAGCAAACCCAAGCCCTGCACCCAAGCGCCTTGCGACGATAAGTCCAAATACATGCATATACCTTCCGGAGAACCTTATGAAACCTTTGCCAACTAAACCGGATCAACGTAGGCCCCTGCAAGCCCTGAACTCAGCTTCGGAAGCTTCTTGGCAAGTACAAAAACTACCCTCGGCCTTTCTGCGATTCAGCTTCTTACAAGTGGAACAACTTTATTTCTGATCTGATGCTTTGAAGTACGAAGACTTCGAAGTGTAAGAATCTCCTTCTTTGCGATGCCAGGCTGAGGCCACGGAGCGTGAGATCGCGGAGTCCTTCATGCGGGCTGCAGCCGCCCTGCTTTGAAACGAGCTTCGGGGTTTAGGGTGAGGGAGAAAGCTTGAATTTCCGAGATGCTACTACTTGAATGAAAAGATTGAGTCGGGCGTTTATTGTATTCAGGCTTTTTGTAACGGAATGCGGATTTAGGCTTGCAGAGTTTCGAGCGTAGGTGTTGCGGCTTCTAGTTGACAGCTTCTGGCCTCAAGGGGTCTTCAGGGCTACAAAATGCTACATAGGACTTAGGTAGGCTTTGGCGATTGGATCGAGAGTGGCATTCTACCAGTGACATCAATTCCGATTTGGGGTTCGGCCGCTTAGGCATTGCTTCGATGCGTCGTGTCCAAGTGCTTCCAGTCCTATGTTGTTGCTCTGTGCCAAATCATCCCCCACTGACTCCCAGCGTCTCACGGCCCTCAACGCACTCCCTAAAGGCGAAGGAGCAGAGAGAGATGCTCCAAAAGACTTCCGAGGCGATGTCCGCCTTGGCCGGCATTCGGTTGCAGCATGGAGGACGGATGTTTGCTTCAAGCCATCCTGTGAATCTCTCCCGGTGAGATATAGATGCCGGAGAGCCACTAGGGATTTAACATTTGTGGTCGCTTCGGGTGCGGAGGACGTATGTTCCGACCTGCCGTGCTTTTAGTTGGAGTTGCTCTCGACGAGGATAAAATTGGCATTTGAGGTTGTGGAGCTGTCGACACATACAATCTGACTCAAAGAAACCTGTCCGCCATCTTCGAGTTGGGCTGTTTGTGTGAAACTGTGAAAGGTTTGGCAGTTTCAGAGAAGGAACGGAACCACTTCTGCATCGCAAATCCACGTCTCGGGCTCTTGTTTCGTGCTGTGACGGAGTTTTCCGCCATTGCTGAGCTGTTTGGAATCCTGTTTTGGCTTTTGTCTTAGGGCTTGATCCTGCAGTGAAGCAGTCGGGAGGCCCGTTTGGCGCCGCAGTGGTTCGGGATGGCGTGATTATCTCATGCGCTCACAACATGGTGCTCCACAGGCTGGCACCACCCTGCAAAGTGCGGGGCAGACTTGAGTCATTACTCGTGCAGCGCTTGTGTTGAGCCGAGCTCGTGATAGTTGCTTCGAGCCTAGTTTCACAGCAATGATAATGGATGCATGCAGTGCTTGCAGGAGAACCTTTTCTGAAAGAAGAATGTGTGAGGGCCCGCACTTCTTATCTCTGCTGGAAAGAATATCTTGCGCTGGCTGACTAGATCGCAGCTTCTGATCAGGGGAGACCCCTGCTGCCACGCAGAGATGAATGCCATCCAACAAGCATGCCAGGCTGGGGGCTTCTTCGGGCTCCTAAGATTCAGATCCCTGCGGCCTGCGGGCTTCTCTTCGGAGCTCCGAAACCCCTCCTTCGCTTGAAGAGACGAAGCAAGTCAATTCCAGACCACCCTGTGAGAACCAAACGGACACGCTTTAGCGCTGGGACTGAGGATTCGACCTGGAGGGGCCTCTGCTCTTAGAGTTTCGGTGTCTCGTGACTCAGGGATGTAGCTGAGGGCGCGTTCGTTCATGGGGTCGATCAGCTGATCACACACAACGGTACCTTGAAGAGCCCATCCTCCACCTAAAGCTGGTTTGTCCCAGACATGTCCAAGGCCTCCTTCGGTTCAATAGATTCAAGGCGTGAGCTTGGAACCAAAGTCGAATCCTGTTGTTGATCATTCCCTGATCAAGTCCCTCATGCATTCTCAGTATGCAGTCCTGGCCCCAAATCGGAACATCAAAACCCGAACGCCGAGTCCCTAGTCCCCTAAGCTGGAGTCCCGAAGCCATGAGCGCTGAAGTCCTTTCGACAGCTCCTGCAAGGCCCTGGGTTCGCACGATCTCTCGGAGTGCGAGCTCTTTACCACCTGCCCCTTTGCCCGCAAAAGATCTTGCACTAACACGATCTTCGAAGCCTCAAGCCTTCATAACCAATATGATGCAGGACCGATGAACCCGCAGACAGATAGCGAGACACAGAGGTAAGTAGAAGGCTAGAAGAGCTACAAACGATGATTGCTTTTACTGTAAGGCATCTGGCGGAGGAAGCTTTATGGGCACCTGCATCAGCCCGAAACTCTTTCGATGAGCAGGATAGAAGCGTTGTAGCGAGTGCAGCTTCGGCAAGCAAGTCAAGCACACACACACACACACACACAGAGACAGATACAGAGACACCTGCGCATAAAAGCCTACAGCTGCTAAAAGCCCTCAGTGCAGGGATCACCTGGCCTGGGTACGGAGACTTCAGAGAGGGTCCATGTTGACAGCAGGAGCAACAACCGTGGCTTGTTGATTGGCTCAACGGTTGCGAAGGCAATGCATAGGCTCCTAGTCTTTCTATTCCGTCGGGCTGAACGATTCGAGACCTCTCTTTTGCACAAGCTGAGGGGGTGATCAGACTTGGCCATGTGCGAGAAGATTGAGCATCGTAGGGCTGTATAGTTTGCAGGCTGATTCGCAGGGCAAGCAAACTGGCCTAAACTTTAGTCGAAAGTCGTGTACCTGTTTTCCAGATGTCGTTGCGAGGTGAACCCTGCCCTATGTGCTGGGGCGCTGTTCAGTGGTCAAGGCTGGATTGAAACAAAGGGTAGTTGATCGTTGTTCCAAAATCTCAGCTGCCTGCTAGTGTTACTTCTACTCGGATTCGTTCTGTTCTGTGGAAGACAATCGTGGTTGCATTCTGCAGAGGGGCAAAGGGCAGTATGTGCTCAGGGGAAAAATGCGCGGGAGGAGAGGTCACATTCTCCGGAAGCGGCGGGAACTCGACAGTACTGGACACTGCAAGGCAACAGCCCAATGAAGTAACTGCAGCTCAATGTTGAATGCCTCTGAAGAGACGGCTCACCAGCCAAGCTTGCCCTCAGTAACTTAGTTACGTAAGCCAGGATGCATATTGATGTCCTATAAACTCTGAATAACCCGACAGTCCACGAGCGTGACAATGGTCCAATGGTGACAACGGTGAAGCGGCAGTGCCAAGCTTGAACTGAGGGTTGATCGCAGAGCTGTGATGCCCAAGTCGGGAACGCTCGAAAGTAGGAGCTTGCAATGTCGAACCGCAGTTAGGTGGTTTGCTCTCATTGTCATTCTTGGTTGTTCGCTGATCGGTTGCCCACACATCCGTACTGTCAATGTGGCCAGCCCTTCATGGGCGGCAAGCGGGTTGGATGGAATCAGAGGGGCAACCATCGACAGCGAGATAGGCAAGCATGGCGCGGTAGACACGACCTCCACCTACAGTCAGATTGGAGCCGCCGGGAATGGCAGGATCATGGTAGATGGGGTTGGGCTGGTAGGGAGAGCTACCCGACAGTGCCCAACCCACAAGGTGCCGTCCCAGAGGACTTGCGAAAACTGCTCGAGGATGTGCTTGGAGCAGCGGCAAGTGGCGGAGGAAGGAGATCGGGCAGACGAAGTTAAGCACCGCAGGAGGGGGAGCCCAAAAATGACTGCCAAGACCCTGACTTGGCCCTTGCCCGAGCCTTTAAGACCCAAGCAGGAGTACTGCGGGCACTCGGCCAGCGAAAGCTGCAAGGGGAACACCGGGTTACCCAGGCCAGAGCTGCGCTCCAGAACCATGAGAGGCAGCTGCAACAGCTCCAGGAGGAGTTGGTGCAGGCGCAGATGGAAATGGACCGGTTGGCAAAGCAGTACTCGGACCAGATTGTCACCAGACAGTTGGAACCGTATGGAGCAGGTCCAATGGAGGACGAAGGCGACATGGGCATTGACAGTGAGATGCAGGACAACATCAAAGCGTTGCAAGGAGCCTTGCAGACTGATGAGCAGAAGCAGATGCTTGAGGCCTTGCTACGGAAGTGTGCCCATGCTGACTTGCAGCACAAGCGAAGGAAGGTTCAGACGGTGCCACAGGCCAACTGGGACCCAGATGCATATGAGGATTTGGCAGGGCTGCGGTTTGGGTAGCAAAGGGCCCGATCTTGAGGACATCATGCGGTGCAGGTTTCTCCCTCCAAGTTTTGGTTGCAGGTATCGCTAGCGTGGCAGTTTGGGCGTGGCTTGCTAGGTGTGGCCTGTAGACAGGACATACAGGACTTGTGCATGCAACTGTTGATGGAGCCATCGCTGGCCTTGTTGGAGCAGCTGCGGGCGGCGTGCCATGTACAACCTAGCAGCGCGGCGCAATGTCAGCACAACTCAGCTGTGGAGCAGCTGCAGTCGCGTGGCATTGTGACAGCCGCGGGCACCGACCGGAACGGTGACCTCGCTGATCCAGTGAACAGCTGTAGTGAGGCCGCCAGAGATCTGACCCTTTTGTTTGCGAACATAACGAGTTGGAGTAGTGCTGCGCAGACTTTCTTGTTGGAACAAGACGTACAGTGCCTCTTGGTTGCTGAGCACCACCAAGTCGGCAGCAATCTCGACCTTCTGAAGCAGCAGTGTGTTGAGTCGGGATGGAAAGGTAGCTACTCACCAGCTGCACCTAGTGAAGCTGGTGGGACTAGGGCTGGCGTCTTTGCGGTTGCCCGGAAGCACTTAAATCCGGTTGATGAATTTCAGGGGGTGCACCCGAGATGGAACAGCATCTTCATCCGGAGGAAAGGGTGCGACCTGTTGCTGCTTGTGGCATACTTCAAAGATGGCGGCTTGTACCAAGAAGAAAACTACGAACTCATGCGTGAATTGCTTGCGGCGGTGCACAGCGTGACATGCCCGTGGGTGATAGCCGCTGATTTCAACCTGGCCCCACAGGTTTTGTTTGAATCCGGCTTTGCTCGCAAATTGCAGGGCGTTATCGTTGACGTGAAAATGCCAACCATAGCCACTGGAAGTGAGTTGGATTACTTGATTGTGAGCAAGAGTTTGCAGGGTTGTGTTGAAGTTGTTGTTGATCACATGGTGCCTTTTCGGCCGCACTATGGCCTACGCGTGACACTCAAGGGTCGATGGCAGCAGGCCATGGTGCCTGCCCTCAACAGCATTGATCCCGTCCCGGGTGCGTATGGCCCCAGAAGGCCTTGGGAACATTTTGGAACCACCGATGGAAGCTTTCAGATCCTTGGGTGTGTGGCCAAAACGAGCGAGCAACAAAGTATCACTGAAGAGTTTGCGAGGTGGTCAAGACAGGCCGCGGCCTACTTGTTGGATGTGGCTGTTGAACCTGTGGCAAAAGGGCGTGGTACGTTCCTCGAATATGGGACCAGACCGCATCTGGAAGCCAAGCCTGCCCACAACAAATGGGATTCGAGTGACCTTAACTATTGGTGTGGTTTGAGGCGCTTGGTTGGAGACTTGATGCTCCCACGTAGGCCGGTACCGCTGAGACTCCAGCGGAGGATTCACCAAGTCCTGGAAGAGCAAGCCACTCTTCTGTCCAAGTATTGGTGGCCTGAGTTTGATGCATGGTGTACAGTTGAGAACATGCGACACATGTAATTGAGTTTTCAGCGGGCTGTTTGTCTTTATGGTGCCAAAACAATGGAATGCTTGCAGCACTTCGTTGGTCTTTTGATTGGGAAACGGCGTGATTTCTACAGGCAGAAGTTTGCCGACAGTTTGCTCACGCCGAAACAGATGCACGCGTATTTGAGGAAAGAGCAGGAAACGTATGTGCGACCCTTTCAGAACGTTGTTTTTGAGCACAGGCCGGCAGAGAGACGGAAGTACTGGGTCCAGATTTGGGGTGATGCCCAGGAAGGTGTTAGGTATCAGGAGTGGCTTGAGTGGGAACAATTGACTGAGCTTGGACGCTGTCAGCTTGCGCAAGAGAAGGCCATTTCGTCCACGCAGTTGCAGCATCTGCTGACACAATACCCTTCCAAGAAAGGGGGCCTGGATGGGTGGTCTGTTGGTGAACTCAAAGCCCTTCCCAAAGAGTCGCTATCTGCGTGGGCGTATTTTTACCGCAAAGTGCAACAAGATTTCCAATGGCCGGTCCCTTTGACGGTGGTAGGATATGCGCTCCTACCAAAGAATGCTGAGTCCGAACGTCCGATTGCCCTCACGTCCCTCTGGTATCGTGTGTTGATTAAGAGTCGATTGCATTTGTTGGCAGCTTGGCTGAAACAGGTGGCTCCCTTATGCCCGTGGGACAGGGCAGTTGCCGGTTCGACAGTTTTCTGTTCCAGTATGGCGAGAATGCTTAGAGCGGAGATTTTGCCGCATGCGCAGCTGTATCAAGTGAGTGTGCTTGTTGATCTGAAGCATTGTTATGATCAGATGAACATTCAGATACTTTTGCGTGCTGCTCTTAAGAGGAAGTATCCGCCAGGTTTACTGGCGCTTGCGGTCCCTGTGCACTGCGGCGTTCGCGTCCTTATGGCTGAAAATATGCATTCCCAGTATATAGAACCCTTGAAGGGCATTTTGGCCGGTTGTAGCCTCTCAGTGAGTTTGGCCAAGCTGTACTTGTGGGATATGATGGAGGCGTTGCAGGTTTCGGCGGGGCTGGTTGCTTCGGATACTTGGGTGGATGATCTGTCCTTTGATTTGGTTGACTACAACCCTGAAAGATTGGCGCAGCGTGCTGTGGCACTCTATGAAAACCTTGCCGAACATGTTGCTAAGATTGAGTTGCAAATTTCAGTGAAGAAGTCCGGTTTCTTGGCATCCCATGTCGCTGTTGCCACCCCTCTGAAGCGACTTGTGCAGGCTGCTCAGCACAAGACTGGGGTTGAGTACCCCAAAGTCTGCACTGCGTTGACGGATTTAGGAGTGCAGACCACGCTTGCTAGGTGCAGACGTGTTGGCGTGCAGCGTGCTAGAATAAATAAAGGCTTGCAAAGGGCTTCAAGATTGAATGTGATTCCGCGTGGTAAGAGGAAACAACTGGTGAAGGGCAATGTCATGCCCACTGCGACTTGGGGTCACCAGGCGTCGGGTTTGGCCAAAACGATGCTGCATTCCTTTCGGGTGCAGCTGGCGCAACGAGCTTGCTTCAGGAAAAAGTTGGGTTGTCTCCAGACGGCTTACAGATTGTTTGTGTCCAAGGAGGCTGATCCCCAGTTTGCGTTGCCTGTGCATCAAGTCGTTGCTTGGTTGCAGTTGTTGCGGCATACACGGTCTAGTGCAATGGAGCTTGTCGGCAGGGCTTGGAGGATCCAAGCGGCTAAACTTCATGAACGGCGTGTTCATTGGGCCTATGCGAGAGGGCCGATGACTGCTTGCATGTGTGTCCTCAAAGACGTTGGCTGGCATTTCCTTGAATTATTCCGTTGGATAGACCCAGACGGTCAGTCTTGGGAATTTGCGTTGGAGGATCCCATTTCTGTCAGGACTCTCGTTGACAGCCTCGCTTGGAGTTGTGAGCGGAACCTCTGGCGCGAGGCTGCCAGGCACCAGGGAGGAATTGACCTGGCTTGTGGTTGCGATTTGACTGTCGCTCACAAACACTTGAAAGGATTATTGAAGCAAAATCGTCTTCATGATCACAACCTGCTGTTGCATGCTTTGCAGGGCACTCTGCCAACCAGTCACAACGGTGTGGAGGAAGTTTGTTCGGCTTGCGGTGGTCCGGATGCCAGTTTGAAACACAAGCTATGGCGTTGCCCTGCCGTGCGTGAGCGCTTTGGCCCCATTCCTGAAGTATGGGAGATGTCGTTGGATGATGAAGGCTTGCAGTCCTTGTGGTTACGTGGTTTAGTGCCGGCCTCTCTTACTGCGCTGCCATGTGAGGCATACGTGACGGAGGCACGAAGTTGCTGTGTGGCCACTGGTCTTTGGGAAGGCTATCGTTGCTTGGATGCGTCGGAGTTTTTCTTTGGCACCGATGGGTCCGGAGGCCCATACTCGAACGAACCGCGCTTGAGGTTGTGTGCGTGGAGCGTTGTTGCGATTCGTCGAACTGAGCCGTATTTATGATGTACTTGCTACGTTAGGAGGACCACTTCCGGGTGAACAGCAGACTGTGCCTCTTGCCGAAGCGTATGCCATGAAGATGCTTTTCCAATACACTGAGGGTGTGATTGATTTCTGCAGTGACTCACAGATGTGCGTACGCCGGTTAAGGAAAGTTGGCAGACAAAGTTGTGAGACTTTGGAACGGTTGGCGAACCTAGCATTTGGTTGCGCATAAAGCTGTTGTGTCAGGATAGACCAGCTTGTCGTGCCACTTGGATCCGCTCTCACCAGTCCCCGGATGCAGCCGATGAGCAGTGGCAGTATGTCGCCAACCAGGAGGCTGACAGGGTTGCGGGCGCCGTTGCCGTTCAGCTTGCGCATGCATGGTGTCTCAACCGTCGTGTTGCGTTGCTCGCTCGTGTCGATGGCCGGTGTCGCAAGGTTCAAGAAACGTTGATGCAGCGATACGGCTTTTGGCAAGAAGCCATGCCCAAACAGGCTGATGTGAAGATTCAGGGTCCCAAACCTCCTACTAGGGTGCAGCTGATTGAGCATGCGTCCACTACGCATCCTGAGCATAGTTTCCGACTCAAAACACGTGGAGGCAGCCAGCAGGCAGAATGTGTGCGGTGTGGACTTGAATTGAATAGCTTGTGGCGTAGGCAGCGCCTCATTGCTTGTTTGGAGCTGCCGTGCTCTAAAGGATACCAGTTCGCTGTTCTGGGAGTCCACTGCACGCATGAGCCATTTATCGACAACCGTCGAGTCAGATGCCGGCGGTGTCGTCTCCGCCAGTCAGTGCATAGTTTTGCTTCTTGTAACCGCTTTTCGAAGGTTTGTGCAGGTTGAGGTCGCGGGATGGCTTAGCCATGTCTCTCATGTCAAAAAAAAAGGGTTGATCGCGGCTCGCGGACCCATACTCGGCTCAGTGCCTCTGCTTATGCAGCACCCAAAGCATCGCTACACTGCTACACTAGACTGTATATACTGCTAAATGTGAATTGTTTGTATTTGCTGAGCAGGGGATTTGACGGCTGCTAACGCGTCAGCGCACTAGAGTGGAAAGAACAGAGACAGAAGCAGGATGGGGAGAGACGACATTTGTTCCAAAGCTGCCTGCGGCCGCACGCAGTTCCCACGTTTTGCAATAGTCGGCAGCGGGTGGGGGACATGGTTTGATGAGACTGGACTGCTTTCCGCACTGCTTGGCAGGTACTGTAGTTTCTTATGACGGTGGCTGATACTATCAACTTCTTGCAAACTCAATACGAGGCAAGCAGGCAGGTAGGCAGGTAGGTAGGTAGAAACTCTCTCTTTCTCTGCGCATATGTATATACATATATGTATATATATATATAGAGAGAGAGAGAGAGAGTTGTGTTTTGTGTTCATGCATAGTTGTATCTCGATGTCGCTCGTTTGTCACGTTGACGATTGCATGATACACGTCGTATGTGCACGAAACCGGCAGATCCCCATGTAGTGCGACTTCGCCATGCCGCAGGCTGGGCAGAGCCTACATCGGCGTTGATCGCCATACGGCTGCAAAGTACGGCTTCGATGACAAGGCTCGGAAAGGGCGACATGTACCTGTCCCCTATGGTCAAATTTTGATGCTTTTCTATTTTGCGGGTCTGTTTCGGTGTTTTAAAGGCATATGACAGAAACTTAATGTGTTCATTTCAGTCTATACACTCATACACATATCGGTATGAATGCATGCATGTATGCATGTATCTATGTATGTGGAGAGGCCCGACGCCACCAACGACCATGTCTTGAAGACAGCCCTCACTTGTTCATGTCTGCTGCCTATGCGACGATACCCTACTTCAACTGACTGCGTGGTCCGTCTTGCCACTTGAAAGCAGCTTGCAGCAGGTATTCTACGATGAGATCGACTCAAAAGCAGGGCACTATGGCATCAAGAGGACCCTATTACTCACGATTATGTCGCTTGAGAAGGGTGCAAGTCACCGGTACACGGACCAGAAGACTAAGGGCACTGTCGCATAAGCCTGTGTCGCTTTTTCTGAGTTCCCGTGCTGTGTTCCGTCGGCGCGCATCTAGAAGTATCCACTAGCCTGCGATGTTTAGGGCTTTCAGCTTTCCGTCAAGGTAACAAAGTGCCTTCCCTCGTCAGTCAGAATCAAAAAGAACAGGATCCAGTCAAATATTGTGATGTCTCAACATTCTCGATTCAAACCGGCATGCTGCAGTACTGCTGCAGGTTTCTTTGCATCGGTGCCGATGCTTGCACCATGTTTGGCCGCGCATGTTGTAAACCTTGACATGGTGTCCGCAAAGGCTTGGGGCTTGGGTTTGCTTGTAGTTGACACTGTCGCCTGGTGCAGTGAGCTTGCCTCTTGGCTTGGTCCTTAGCGCGAAATCTGAACATGTGAATTCCACAACCGACCCTGTGCTGCAGGACTGGCTACATTCCCAACACTTCGGAGGCTCACAATCCTCAGGCTCTTGGGTAGGTGATGCAAGATCGGCATTCTAGAGCTCATCGAGGCAAATTGATTCCAACCGAGCCAGACTGCAAGAGACTAGCTTCGGACCACCAGACTTGTGCCCTGCCATGCTGACACGGGTAACATTTGCATCATGTCTGACACTTTCTCGCCCTTCGAATCCTGAAGAGCACTCCCGTCGTGATCCCGAGCCACACTCTCAGGGGGAGCGTGTCTTCAAGAACATGGTCGACGTGTACGACGGCATCCTCAAGGAGGACTCCAAACTTGTTGCTGAAGATACGAGTCTTACTGTGCGACATTCCGTGCTGTCATTCGGGCATCGTTGCTCTCGAAGGATGTGGAGCAGTTCTTCAAGGACACAACAGTGAACCGGACAATGCGACGACGCTTCACTGGCAAAGGAGGAGAGCAGGTGCAGCCGCTTGGGCATTAATTAGTGTGGTATTCCATCTTTCATGTGCCTGGCCTAGACACTCTAAGCCCCGATTTATGAGTACACCAAAACACCAAAACACCCGTCCCCATACGGCCAAGAAGCACCTTTGAAGCCGCCAAGGAGTGCCTACAAGCTGGTCTTCGACCGGGAAGCGCAGCTGCGGCCGCCCCCGTCCGGTGAAGATGACACGAACATGGAGGCTTAGGGCGAAGGGACGGAAGGGAGGTTTCGAAAGGTTCTTCAGGGTTCCTTGAGCTTCTTTGGTGGCTTCTGTCTTATGCAGGTACCGAAGGAAGATTGACTGCCCATGAATGACAGGATCACGAGAAGTACATGAAGCTGGCTCCTTGGCCAGACCATAGAGACTATTGGCATAACCTTGTAGGGTATACAGTCGTGCATTGTTCTTCCGGCAATGGCTTGGTTCATTTTCGCACACATGGCTCAAAGGATGCACAACAGAGATGTGGAAAAACACTCCTGGCTCGAGCCGCGCATCGGCACGCCACCAGCCACCAACAGAATCCTCTCACAGCGCAGCCACGAACCCAAAAACCCAAGAAAGGCTATGGCAGTGGCTGCCAGGGGTGCCAAGGCCGGTTTGGCCAAGGACGGGACCTGTCCAAGCTCCTAAGAGCTTGTTGTCGTCCGGGGGTTGTACTATTTCATGCTTTGCCGGATTCCAATCTTGGGTAAGGGAGTTGAGGATGTTTCCGGTGTCTTGCAGCGATGCGCGTCTTCAACCCGAAACACGCATCGCCCCCAGACCCTAGAGCCCCGGTCGCGAACCGCACATCCTCAAACTTCGTTTCGATGAACTGGATCCTGGACTAATGTGTTGGACTAGTTTGGTTTCTTGCTTCTGTCGAGTCGTGCTTAGGCTTAGATGAGCCCAAGGAAAGCTCAGAGTTTACACGGACCAGTAGGCACATGCCTTAAGACTTTATTCCACTTCAATACTACGCAAATCAGTCAACAGCACCCACCCTGCCCCTCGTTGCCGAAGTCCACGAGGAGCGTGAATGCTTCGGTGCCGTCATTGTCAAGGATGGAGTGGTTCGGAGCTTAGCATTGCTGCTGTCAGTAGTGTTATGATTGGAGGGGTTCGGTATGCTTCTAACGTCGAAATGGCCCGTATGTTGATGTCGTTGTCGCTGCTGAGGTGTTGTTGTTACCACAACTGCTATTCAGTTGTTTTGGCTGGTGATGTCTACTGTGCTAGGTGCTATCGCAGCTTTCAGTGATGGTGTTGTTGTTCTCACTCCTCTTGTGCTTAAAGTGGCAGTACTATTCCCATTACTATTCCCGCCATTTCCCATTATGATCGGATACTTGTTATTGGTATTGACTTAGCATCATCGTTGTTTGTGTTAAGACATGTTAAGGCAGCCTTTACTGGTATGTGTTAGTCTTATTGGTTTGTTGCTATTGTTAGTGTTAGTGTTATTGTTAGTGTGTTTATTAATGTTGTTGGTGGTGTTGTTTTTGGTGGTGGTGGATGTGGTGGTGGTGGTGGTGGTGGTGGTGGTGGTGGTGGTGGTGGTGGTGGTGGTGGTGGTGGTGGTGGTGGTGGTGGTGGTGGTGGTGGTGGTGGTGGTGGTGGTGGTGGTGGTGGTGGTGGTGGTGGGTGGTGGTGGTGGTGGTGGTGGTGGTGGTGGTGGTGGTGGTGGGGGTGGGGTGGGGTGGGGGTGGGGGTGGGGGTGGGGTGGGGGTGGGGGTGGGGGTGGGGGTGGGGTGGGGTGGGTGTGGGCGTGGGCGTGGGCGTGGGCGTGGGCGTGGGCGTGGGCGTGGGCGTGGGTGTGGGCGTGGGCGTGGGCGTGGGCGTGGGCGTGGGCGTGGGCGTGGGCGTGGGCGTGGGCGGCGGCGGCGGCGGCGGTGGTGATGGTGGTGGTGGCTGGGTTGTGCTTGTGGTGGTGGTTGGTGGTGGTGTTGTGGTTGAGGTTGGTGTTGGTTTGAAGTTTCTGCCGTCTAGCTTTTGGGCAATGCTGAGGGTGTCGGGATCAGGATCGTCGTAAAAGCTTTAAGGGTTGTGTTCCTCTCAATCTTCGGGTCTAGAAAAGTGCAAGGCCGCAAGGCCCTGGAGGATTCATTGCTTTAAGATGACTCCGAACGGACTTATGTCGTTTCGGATAGTAAGGACTTCGGGAGCAACCGGATTATCATTTGCTGTTGCCTTCGAAGCAAAGCGGCAACGGGAACTTCGGAGTGAGACAGCATTTGCCTCCGTCCGTGGTGGGGACCATTTAAAAATCGAGTTGGAGCTGTGCTCGCCACCCAAGATTAATGCCCTGCCGGTGGAGTCGAGTGGTATTGAATTGGGTGTCAAGTCGAGTTCTAAGTGGGGTATGTCTACTCCGAACGTGCAGGTGAGCCTGTGCGCAGGTTGCCGCAAGCTTTCAAGCTTGAGCCCAGCACACTCAAGGTCGTCGCACGACACAATAGCTGAGTTTAGGGACAGCGGCTCTGACCAGTCTGACCCGGATGTCAGGTGGTCGCCGAGGCCTGCAATTGCGATGCTTGTTTGCAAGGATTCGACAGCATGTCACCTAGACATTCTCCTGAATCCAAACTTCCTAAACCCTCGGCCCTAAACCTCGTAAAGTCATAAGCCCGCTCTCATATATACGTCGACATAACTTACCTCAACCCTGCCGCATGCAACCCTGCCCCTTCACTCCCCTCTCTGACGAGGCAGTTTCGTGAGCTTCCGGGTTTACTGAAAGCAGCCTGCACACGTCCTGAGGTGTTGTCAGATCGCGATGCGACTGCCACTGCCGAGGCTGCAATAAGATAAACTGTATTACCTTTTCTCCCCTTGCCGGCCTGGTTTGCAGTCGTCGGAAGCTGCGCAAGCATACAGACTTGCTGTCCGAACACAAGAACCAACATCGCCTGAAGGCCCACGGCGCGAATGAAGAAGAGGTCACTCTTGTGGTGATCCTGCAAATCGTAAACCTTGAATAATGAAATGCTTTTGTGTAACCTTGTCTGCCCTTGCACGGCCTCCTTTGGCAGGAGTATGTTGTCATTTGATAGCTGCAGTGCGAATCGTGTCTTCACAACTCTGGTCAGAGGGGTTGTTCCAAGTAGTAGCAGGAGTTCACTATAAGACGGACACCCCAACGAGATTCTGACCATGATCAAACGCTATGAGACCCTGAACTCATCAGGCTGCTTTGACACGTCTTGCTGTGGAAAGCCTTCGGGTCACGACATGTTCCATCCAAGCTTAAAGTCACCCAACTCTTGATGCCACACATGCGCTGAGAAGCATGTGTAGGTGAAGGCCATCCGTGCTGCAACGCAACGCCTGGGAACGTACCTCGCCCCGCATTTGTCGAACTTCCCCTCGCCGATACTGCTAACGGGCTAGCGATTTTGTATGCTCGGCCCGGATTTCTTTCGCTCGGAGTCTGGGCAGGCACCGCACCGGCATACTAGTGGCCGGTGATGCACGGGTCAGGAATGGGGCTGTCGCAGGCCTGACACCCGCGGTGCCAAATGCCAGGCAGAATCCGGAGGTTCCCGCGATGATGCCAGACAAAGTCTTGACATTGAGAAGATAGGTCGACTGCTTGCTTTTTCCCCGCATATTTGTCTCGAAGCTATCGGTCCGATTCTCTCAGCATCTGATACAGTGCTGCCTTTCCGAGGTACAACCTTGAGGGCTGCGTCATGTACACCACAGCGCATCCGGACCTGATGTCTTTAGGCACGGGTGGCATTTAGGAGTCAGCGTGGTGGAAAGAGTGGTGCTGTGTAACTATCGGCTCGATATTGCACTGTGCAGGTGCAGTTCTTTGGTCCAGAATCTCTCGCATATACTGCGGTGTGACGCAGCAGTTTGCATCTCGGCTTGTGGCTGATTTGGCAGGTTTGTTGCATGCTGTCGGAACTTCATCCTCCGAATAAACCCAGATTCCCGACAAACCGGGTGAACCTAACAAGCGCTTACAGGCAACCCCGCCGAGTCCGTCCAGGGCTCCCTTTCGTGTCAGAGGTGTCTAGCTCCTCCTCATACGTTCCAAAGCTGCTCTTTTTCCCAAGCAATAATGTGGGAACCCTACAGTCACTATGGGGTTCTCGCGTTCATTGTCTCGCACAGTGGATGTGTTCGACTAACGTCGCACTTTGTTCCAGCATAGCCACCCTGTGCTGCTCACGTATATGGTGAATCGCACTCCCTCCAGAGCTCGGAATTTCCTTTGGCAGCCGTTCCCGCCGCAGTGCTGAGTGTAGTTTCGGGGGTGCGCATTATCTTGTTCGCCGCCACCATCCCGTGCATTTCCGCCTCCCCAAAGCATGCTCCTTCCACCACGCTTGGGTGCGTCTGATGTTTCTGCCTTTCAAAAAATCGTGGTGCTCACCATGGTGAGCATGTTGGACTTATGGGGTGGTCCTGGTATGTAGGTCTGGGACAGCTAAGTGTTCTTTCACTTGTTGGAGATGTTGGGACCCATAGGAGTGCATACGTAGTGCTCTTCGTTCCAATTGAAGAGTTGATTGAAGAGCGTTCCACTGCACTTCAACGGGTGTCCTAGCTTGCTTCTAATTCTTTTGACAAGCTCACAAGATCGTCTGGCAGAAGAGCTTGGAGTTGAGGCTGTCAGTTTTGTCCAGGGGTCGTCCTCTATGTCACAGGGTTGAAGAGCGCTCCTTTTCAAGTCAGCGGCGTCCTACTAGTCCGCTGCTCATCCTTTCGCAAGCCCATGGCCCATGCCCCTTCTTGTCCGTTCAGTCTGGGCCTAACCTTGTCCTAGCACATCCCAGCAAGAGCGTCCACGATGGCATCTTTGATAGCCGATTTCCAAAATCTGAGCCAGAGATAGCCAGAGCATCCATAGCATACGGGCCCTGGTAAACAGCCAGTTCCTAAAGCTATCGGTGACTGCTTGTTATTGATTGGGGGCCTTGTTTGGATGGGACCTTCGACTTCGATACTGCAGGGCCTCAGCATGTCGAGTGCAAATTTCTTGTGACTTGCCATGTAAATCCAGTAGCTCACGGAGGCACTGGCCACGGCAGCCTTTCCTTGCAACTTGCGGCTTTAGGCCCTTTGCGCAGTAAGGTATAGGGCCAGTATAGTGCTCGGCACCTAAAAATTTGACTGCTCAAAATGGAAAACTGCTTTCCAAAGCACTCACTGCCAAAGCCGTAGCCAAGGCAGCCCACTGTGGATTCGAGGTCCACCACGCCTTCTTATAGTGTTTTCACAGTTCCTCTGGCAGCTGTGGCTAAGTTGCCTTGGTGCTTGGCCGTGCTCGGGTTCCGCAATGGCCGCTGTTGGTAAACTGGCCACGTGAAGTGAGTTGGGGTGTGAAAGTTCAAGGGTTCTGTAATTTGTTTGGTAGCTCTGGCTCGGGCGTCACCGTTTGTCAGACATCTTCATTTCGGGCGAAAACTTCCATGAGAAAGTTACGTGGCTTTAGATTCAGTGCCTGTCTTTTCCGGCTTGGGGTCGGGACTACGGCTACGGTTTATGGATCCCTTGCCATTGAAGACCGGCAGCCGCTGGAGGACTTTAACGGAGGTACGGTATGGGCACAACTGCAGCGTTGCTACAATCATCATGTAGTTTGCATGACTACCATGCCTGTTGTAGAGTCCTCTGACCACGTTCTTTCTCCATCGTTTATCATCGCTGCGCCCTCTCCAGTCACGCGCCAGGAAGGCTACTTGCACCTCAAGGCGTGCTGGCAGTCGGCAATTCAGGGTATTAGTCCGGGTGCCAGGAGTCCGTATGTTTTAGTGGACCCCGAGACCCTAAAGCACTAGACCGAAGCACCGTCAAGACTTACAGGGCATTTCATTCACAAGCCTGCGCTAGTCTCTAGTGTTCGTCATTTCGCGCGGACTCTCTGAATGAACACGTAGCCCCAGATCCGTTCCAAAACCGGAGCAATGGACGGTAAATGGTCTGAATCTCAACAGTGCTGCAACGTGCACAGGACCTCCTCGAGACAGAGCAAGGGGGTGCGCAACAGGGCAGCAAGGAACAGATGATACTGCTGGCGATGACAGCAGAAACAAGAAGATCAAACATATTTTCTGGTACGTAACAAGTAGTCGTTGTCATCATCGCCCTAGCACTAGCACTACCCGTACGCAGTAGCAGCAGAAGTAGCAAGAGTAGCAGCGGGAGCAGTAGGAGGAAGAGGAGGAGGAGTTGTGCTAGTGCTAGTAATAGTTGTCATAGTAGACAGTAGATGCAAAAGCAGCAGCCGTAGCGGTAGCAACAACAGTGGCAGTATAGCAGTAGCAACAACAACAGAGTAGCAGCAGCAGCAGCAGCAGCAGTAGGAGTAGGACGTCGTGGTAGTCTCGTAGTCGTAGCCGTTTGGCCCCGAATAGTTGTAACCGCAGGGCTGCAGCCCCAAGCAAAACGCCCGAAGAAGTAAGCAAGTCGGCAAGTAAGTAAACAAGCCTGGAACCGCTCCGAACCGTACAAGTAAGCAAGAGTGAGTGACTGAGTGGGTAAGTAAGCAAGCAGTAGAGGGATTCAGCCTCGTACTACTCTAAGCCACTGTTAAGGACCTGTTTCAACTACTGCAACTGAAACCGCTCCCCTGCAGAGCATGTAGTGAAGTGGCAGTAGTAGTCGTCGTCTTCGTCGTAGCAGCAGCAGTAGCAGCAGCAGCAGGAGTAGCAGTAGCAGTAGCAGTAGCAGTAGCAGTAGCAGTAGGACTAGGACTAGGACTAGGACTAGGACTAGGACTAGGACTAGGACTAGTACTAGTACTAGTACTAGTACTAGTACTAGTACTAGTACTAGTAGTAGTAGTAGTACTAGTACTAGTACTAGTACTAGTACTAGTACTAGTGGTAGTACTAGTAGTAGTGTAGTAATAGCAGCAGCAGCAGCAGCAGCAGTCGTAGCAGCAGCAGGAGGAGTTGTAGTAGAAGGAGGAGCAGCAGCAGAAGGAGGAGTAGGAGTAGGAGCAGTAGTAGTAGTAGTAGTAGCAGTAGCCGTAGCCGTAGCAGTAGCAGTAGCAGTAGCAGTAGTAGTATATAGTAGTAGTAGTAGTAGCAGTAGTAGTAGTAGTAGTAGCAGTAGCAGTAGCAGTAGCAGTAGCAGTAGCAGTAGCAGTAGCAGCAAAGCACGACCCCAGGCGCCTGGTGTTTTCCTGCTTTTTCAGTGAGTTTTCGTAGTTTTTCCATGGTTCCGTTCAAACAGACGGAAACCATTCAGAGCCTTTGCCTTGCAAAGCCGTTGACAGGCCCTAAACCCCCGCTGGACTGCTTTTGAACAAGGCCGTCTCCGCTTCGGTATCCTCGTGGCTACTCTTCTAGCTCTTCGCTCTGACCTGGCAGACCTGCCTCCCCAGCTGGATGGTTTTTTGACCTTTCCCTTCCAGGAAATCCTCGAGTTTTTCCTGGTTACTTGGTACTTGGCCTTGCTTCTAGGTAAGTATGCTATCTTTGTGAAAGTCTGGTTCTGCTAACACTGGGTTGTTGTGCAGAAGCCCAATAATCCGTTTAGAATCCGTTTTGGATGCATGGGGGAAGGCGTTTGGTAATCCGTTTGGAATGCATGCGTGTTTGCAGGTCCGTTTTGGATGCGTTTTGAATGCGTTTGGGATCCGTTTTGGGGTCCCGGTGCTTGGGGCCCCAAACGGATCCAAAACGCATCCAAAAATCTGGGGGACCCGCCTGCGGACCCGTCAGGGGTCCGTCTGGGGCCCGTTGCAAATCCGTTTTGGGGTCCCGGGGCTGGGGCCATAAACAGATCCAAAACACATCCAAAACGGATCCAAAACGGATTAAAAGCGGATGCCTCTCGAGGGATTCGTGGTTTCGGCGACCCGGGGGACCCGTCTGGGGGACCCGCCTGCGGACCTGTCAGGAGGTCTGTGTGCCGTTGCAAATCCGTTTTGGGGTCCCGGGGCTGGGGCCCCAAACGGATCCAAAACGCATCCAAAACGGATCCCCAACGGATCTGAAACGCATATGTAGGAAATTTCGCATTTCCAGAGTTAGCAGGCAACAGATTTTCACAATGTCACAATGCTATCTTGTCTCATCTTGTCTCTATCTTCAGTACAATAGGCAGCAAGGCCAACCGCAGGTACCGTGCTGAGAATGGCTGTAAAGGCGGATCGCCCTTCCTGTAGAATCGCATTCACCAGTGGGTTTTTCGCAACTCTTGGGACGGGGGCACCCCCGGCTTGCTCTTAGAGCGGCGAGGAAGAAACATCCGCCACTCTTCATGGGTTTTACAGTCGTATTCCTATTATCAACAGAGCCAACGCCAACACCACCATAACACACTAGGATGCCAAGAATGAACCCCGAAACCACAACTTTAAGCCTTGCGAGTGGTTGCCGGAATTCCTGCTCCTTTCGCATTTTGCAAAATTACGCTAACCCCCTAGGTGGCGCGACAAGCGTGTCATAAAACGCCTTCAGGGCACGCTAGCCTTTTACTAGCTAGCAAGTAGTAGTAGTAGTATCATCACACTCGCTGCGGACGGTGAGGTCGCATTGCGATGACTCGAGCGGTGTCAACCGGCGCACTGTGGCGCTCGATCTCAGTTGGATCGACTCATCTAGCTACGTAGCTACTCTGCCCCGAAGGGCCTATGCTGAGGTTGCAGCACTCCTCATTCGGTACACAAGGATGTAATTGGAGGTGGACAAGGCTTCTGGAGTGACCGATTGCGCAGGACTATTGTCGTCGGTGTGATGCCACACGTTCGCTGTGCCTGAACGAGGTTTGAGTGCAGCACGGTAGTGCCCACTGACCGTGGTCGGTCCTATATGCTGGACAATCGCCTGAAGCTGATACGTTCTCCAAATGATACCTTCAGGGGATGAGGGAGTCCATTGTGGGAAAAGGACTTCTGGAT